GGGGTTAGGGTGGGTTAGCCTAAGCATCTTGATACCAATTAAAGCACTAATTTCAGTGATACAATCACTTACACATAAAATATTCAGTTCCTTCCTCATGTTTAGTAATTTAGTTGTACGGGGGCATCCGAGGATAATCCTCATGGCTTCGTTTTGCATCTTTTCCAGCCCTCCAAGCATTCTCTCAGGCACTAGAGCAAGCATGGGTGCAGCATAATTAATCAGAGACCTAATATATGAGAGATACATTTTGACAATTCTCACATTTGCACCATAGCTTGGATGGTAGCCTGCCACAGCCTTGAGAGCACGGAGCCTCTCTCTACATTGGCGACCCAATCTGGCTACAACATTGCGGTACAGTGGAACTTCAAGACCAAGGTATTTGTATCTGGTAACATAGTCGAGCAGAGAGCCATCATGCAACTTCATTTTGCGAGGCACTACAAAGGTCAATTCACCGAAAATTCATAAGCACATCTTGGATATTATTCTTTTCCTTTCTAAGTTGGATCTAGCTCTTTTGGTGCTAGCCATCCTATGTGCTAGTATAGCAATTACAATTTTCAATGCATAACTGATCTGCTTAGCAAATATGACCCACTTCCATTTCAAAATACAAAAAAAAAAAAATCGAGAGCAATAAGAGAACCAAATGCACATATACAAGTACATAATTTATCCATGTGCATACAGAATTAATTCCTTGAACTTTATGGCTTACACAGGGTAAATACCAATAACGTGGCTGAAAATTAATTCAACAAATACATATGAAAAGAAAGGAAGTGAAGAAATTTTGGTCTATTCTAAACCATTATTACGTTGCGTCCAGGATGGACCCAAATGTCCTCACTTCCATTTTTTTTTAAGAAATATCAAATATTTTTCAATGCTTATTTATGATACGTCAAATAGTTATAACAAGTTAAGAAAGCAATATTGTAATTTGATGTAAAGATTGTCAACATCATCTCAGAATTTTCAGTCGAAGAAAGTTTTCTGTGCTTTGGTAATTTCACTAAAATAAGAGAATGAGAAATTACCTGGAATTAGACAATTCTCTTAATTAATTTAACATGTTTGGAAAATATAATGACATACTATCAGCTTTCCTTGAATTTAAGTCAAAATAAATTTTCTCCAGCTGCAGAAACCACGCATGCGCAAGCTGCAGCAGCAGAAACCACGCAAGAAAAGGCGCCTGACAGCTGAGTGGACAGCACTTCGGATTCATAGTCCTGAGGTTCCGGGTTCGATCCCCGGTGGAGGCGGAGACAGATGGGCAAAAAGTTTTTGAGTGGTAGACGGTTGGAACAAGTAAGGTGAGAAGGTGGTGAAGGCCAAGACCGTCAGTAGTTTCAAAGCATTAGATGACAAAGAGTGCTGGGAAGACGGGACACCTCGAGCGTAGCTCTCATCCTGTAACTACACTTAGGTAATTATTAAACCTAGTTTGTAGGGGTTAATTGTTTCACAAAAACGTGAAATATGAGGCAACATTTTTTCTTTTCACTGCATGGAATATCCAAAACTAAGTGGCTTACACAGATTGATGATGTACAATCAGTAATAGATCACTGGAATTAAGGAAATAAGGTCTATTGAAACTTGAATCTATCAATTTCAATGCTCAAACTCTAACTTAATTAAGTTAAGTTTATATGTATCCATAGCCAAACTTGAAATTGTTCTAATACTATCTTTGTGGGTTAAGTTATTTACAAAGATCCACCCAGTTAATGCACTGATTGAAGCATGTAATGCTACACTTCATGTTGAGTGATAACACTGAATGTCTCCATGTAGCCATTCATTAGGTTCATTAGCAATGGGATGCGATCCTGAGCAAGATCAAATTAGTAGCAGTCAGACAATTAGTATTTAAATTTCGTTTACCTAAAGTTTCAAAATGTGCGTATGATGTTGAACATTATGTAATCAATAACTTTTTTTTTACTTCATTATACTGGGTCCTAGTGGGGTGGTTTGAATTATTTAATAGAACTTGCTATCTGTTCAAGTTTATCTGGTAATTTAATGGTCTGAGTAATGAAGATCTATATATTGTACATCATAAAAATAATTTCAAAGAAAGTGCACTAAAATAAAATCAACAAATGTGACATGGTCTCTATCCTCAAACGGGTACATTTCATTAACTATAAAAACCATATTGTGAGTCAAGGGAATTTCTTCAAGGAATACAGTACAGTACTTAAGACTTGGGTTAGATGGTAGAGCGACGGTCTTGCTTCCTGCAGGTCGGCGGTCAATCCCCGACCATCCAAGTGGTTGGGCACCATTCCTTTCGCTCATCCCATTCCAAATCCTTATCCTGGTTCCTTCCAAGTGCTATATAGTCCTGATGACTATTCCTGATAACTCGCTCCCTCCTAATATTACTGTTAAATTGAAAATTCTTCTTAGTTCTTAGCTTTCTTAGCAATGCGATTTTGGTGTATGAGAGAACACAAGAATATAGCAAGCCCAGCTAATTGTCATTTAGCCGTATTGTATTTAAAAATTAACTGTAGAGTTTTTAACCAAAATAAAATACGAGTTTGTACAAGTAGAATGATCTCTCAATGTACTAAAGCAGGTCAAGAATTATCACTTTAATTTTTGGAACATTATACTGTATATGCACTGAGAGGTGTACCTTGCATCTGTGTGCATACAGTATACAGGGTTTACATCAGTCCTGAGCCATGTTCAAGTATATAATTGGAAAACAATAAAAGGACTGAGGAACTTGGCACTAGTTGGTTCTCCACCTAGTATTGTACCTCCTGGTAGCATAAACAAGCAAGTAATTATCAAAAGACGACGACAAGCCTGGAAGTCCGCCTATGTTTAGCACCAACCGTGTTACAGAATATTAAACGAGAACCAAAAGTATCAAAAGAAGGCACTGAAGACGGAAACAGCGGGAGTGAGAAGAAAAGTGCTCAAGGAAAAGGCGTTTTAGAGCCGTAGGAGGGGTAAAAGCTTTAGTGATGAGAGTCAAGGATGTACAAAACTGTGGAAAGGGGACTCTCCACGGGGGCAAAGAAGGAACAACACGAGTAGAAACATTAGAAATACGAACTGAAAGAGAATCCTCTAAGCGAGATAACCAGACATAAAGAGGGGGGGGGTGAAGAGGAACAGGAACCGCAGGAGGGGTAGAAGTAATTATTAAAAAGAAGGCACCAAACCGATAAGGCTATGTAGCACCATCAAATGTGCGGAATAATCAGAGGGTGCTAAATATCACCAAGGATGCCAATACGAGAACAGAAATGCATAAGGCAAACGATATCAAAATTATCCGCGTCGCCAAGAATACTATCGAGAGACAAGCAACCACGAGGAGGGGTAGAAGTTAAAGCACGACAGAGGCGAGAGGAAGGATGATGTTGCAAGGACCGAACAAGATAGCGAAGACAGTAGCGATCACGGCGGTCCTGGAGAGATAGGAAGCCAGTGTCAACATACAAGCTGAGGACGGGAGTCGAACGAAAGGCACCAGAACCGAGGCGTAACCCAGTATGGTGCAAAGCATCAAGATTGCGAAGAGTAGAAGGAGAAACAGACGAGTAAGCAGGGCAACCATAATCAAGCTTAGACAGGACAAGAGAGGAATGTAAAGCGAGTAGTGTGCGCCTATCCGCTCCCCATGAAGTATGGGACAATACCCGAAGGAGGGCAAGGGCCTTAGAGCACTTAACACGGAGGTAAGAGATATGGGGACACCAAGACAAATGAGTGTCAAAGAATAACCCCAAAAGCTTCGCGGAATCTTTGTACTCGAGGGGATGACCATAAAGTGACAAAGAGGGACGAAGAACGACCCGTTTCTGAGTAAAAGTCATAGCACACGTCTGAGATGTAGAGAACCTGAAGCCATGATCGGTGGCCCAAGACGACACGGCATCAACCGCAAGTTGAAGCCGGTGTTGAAGGAGAGGCGAATCATTACCCTGATAGCAAAGGGTAAGATCGTCGACATAAAGAGCGGAGAAGACGCCTGAAGGAAGAGAGGAAAGAAGACCATTGAGGGCAACCAGAAAGAGTAGTGCTCAGAACACTACCCTGGGGCAAACCTTTGTATTGCTGAAGAGGCAGAGAGAGCGGTACCAAGCCTCACCCGAAAGGAACGACGAGAGAGGAAGCTGTGGAGAAAGAGAGGGAGATGACCACGAAGGCCAAAAGAATGAAGCTGGGATAGAATATGATATCACCAAAGGTGTCATAAGCCCTTTCCAGGTCAAAAAGGATGGCAACAACGGAGGTCTTTGCAGCAAAAGCAGTACAAATATAGACCTCCAAGTTCACCAGGACATCTATTGTGCTAGGGCACTTGCAGAAACCAAATTAAGAAGGGGAGAGGTGGTGATTGTGTTCCAAGAACCACATCAGACGAACGTTTACCATACGTTCAAAGAGTTTGCAGATACAACTTGTAAGGAAGATAGGGCGAAAGTCCTTAGGGGATGTTCCCAGAGACCCTGGTTTGCAAACAGGGAGGACAACGGCATCGAGCCAGTCCTTGGGGGCTGACGACGACTCCCAGATCCGATTATAGACTCAGTAAATACCGAGACATGCACGGAGGGAGATGGCGAAGCATCTCAATGAATGCCATCGGAGCCCGCCGCCGTAGAACCGCAGAAGGCCAGGGCAGACCAAAGTTGAGAGAGAGAGAGAGAGAGAGAGAGAGAGAGAGAGAAAAGGATCATTATAGGGAAGGCGAAGACGAGTACAGAAATCAGGAGGACAAGATTCAAGGACGAGTTTACGAAGGAAAGATTGGGGAAGATGAAAACCAGAGCTAACATTAGAAAAGTGGGAACCCAGTTCGGTAGCGACCTGCAACGGGTCCGCCACAAGAGTATCACGGAGGTGAAGGACCGGTGCGACATTGGGAACGAACTTACCCGCTATCTTGCGGATACGCTTCCAGATCTGTGGCAGAGGAGCTCTAAGCCAAAACCAATGGGGTAATGAAAAGCCTATTAATAATGGCTGATGGTATTTTATTTTGTTAGCATTTCTAAATAAAGAGAAATACCTAATTTATTCTTTCCAATTCCTTTTTCAAATTTAAAGGTATGTAATAAAATAAACCACAAGTCTTGTTTTGTTACTAACGTAACCTTGAGGATACGTTAGGGCTGACCGAAGGTACACCGAGAGACCAATTATGTCATGGTGATGGTTGTGCAACTTGCAGTGAGCAGAAGCTGAAGAGACTTTTTAGCAAAATGTAATTTCAATAAGTATATTGCATACAACTAATAATAAAGTCTCAATCTCAACATTACCACTTACTTTGATGTGATAACACATGTGATACAATACAGGTAGTTACACAATAAAACAGTTCAGCAATGATGAAAAACACAATCTCTACTCTTGATGCATCCATTTGCATTGTACCTTCGATCTAGTTTAACTTTAATATTCACGAGATTCCACATTTCACTTTTATAAGTGAAAATATTTTTATTTAGTACTATTGCATTTCACTTAGTACTCTTTCTTGTACCAACTTGGTTAACAACATTTTTATTTTTCATCTAACATCAAAGTATCATGTGTGGCTATTTCAACAGGTGATGCAGATTATACATTTAAGTAGTTTTATTAAATTCCTTCCTTGATAAAAGGCTATAGCCATGTATATTAGAGATACACATGGATTTTTTTTCACTTTGTGTTCTCTGTCTGAGGGCGAGTAATGGTCTCTGTCGTATCTGGTCAGGAATGATGCATCATCATCATCAATTTCAACATTGATTAAGTAGTTACATTTTGCCCTTGATTTCAAGATACAAATATTCACCTTTTATTCAAGGTCAATAGTCAATTTCTGAATTACTTTGCTGTCAAGTTCTAATCAACCGAATTTATTACATCAAAATTTATAAATAACTAACATACTGTATCTGTAAATAAAAGAAATGATAAGAACATACAGTACGATACTGTACGTTTGAGCCAAGTCTCAAAATTGAGAAAAACAATTCACTAACAGTATATGAAATTTTACAAAATGCTTCTTCACTCAACAATCCTAAATTTAATTAATAAACTGATCAGTAGTGACCATGGCATAAGTTATGGAACAAAATGTATAACCAGTAATTGACTTGAAATGAGAGACTGCTCTAGACCAGGGTACAACTCTTGAAAGGCATGAATGCCGAGCTATGCATAAAATATTAGCTTCTGGTGGTCTTTTAACATTTTAAGATTGAGCCATTCATGTTCAATAGACTTAATAAAAAAGGAAAGCCTTAATGAAGCACTCAAATTAGCTCATTAAATACACAGTATACTGATATTTTCTATTGGAAGTAAGGAGTTCCACCAAAATGTGTGTCAATTATATTGCAGTCATTTGACTTCCTACAAGGAAAGGCAGGATAACTACCAACACTGGTGGTTGCATTGAGGAATGTAGACGGTCGCCACACATGGGACATATACTATGAGACAACAATAAACTGGCTAGACTTCCAGTAAACAGCAGTCAACACAGGTCATGGCAGAATTTGAGAATGTGTTGCTTAGCAACACATTTTCTATATACAGCACAAATCTGTGCCAATATTATAAGCATGTAATTATACTCTTCGTGGATAATACACCAAAATTGAATACAAATCGCATAGAAAAAAAAAAGAAAAAAAAAAGAAAAAAAATAATAAAAATCTACACAGATGGCAGTTACCCATCAAAGTATTAAATCAATTTCCAATCACCCAACATATATAATACATGTGCATACACACCACACACGTCAAATCATCAAAAGACCCTTGGGTAATGTTTAAACTAGGTTCATTCTTTTTATTTTGGATTGTAAATAACAACCATTAACATATAACCCAAGAACCAAATTTGATGATCTGAACATATCATACTACACAGCATATCCAGAATGGTCAGGGAGTCCTAATCTTGGATTCGAGAACCAAGTTTTAAACTCCATGATCACAAAGTATCTACGGTATTTGAGCTTTTATGAGCTAGAGAAAATTAAACACATACACAGTAACACCTGAACAAATATTTCTCTTCTACACAACACAACTTTGTACAGTGGTTTACTTACAAATCTAGCAAGCAGGACATTTTATTCACCTATTTCTGCATCAGCGTCCCTGTCTGTGACAAAGAATTCTCTCTCACAATCATACACATGCACACACTCATTCAAGCACTTGAAGTCCCAGCATAAGCACCAATATTCCACATTCTTCAACCCACACTCAAAATGGGATTTATGCCACAAACAACACTTTCAGTAATGCATCCCTTAGGAACTACAATCTTTACAAAAATACTTTATTACGTCCTTCAGTCTTACACTTAAACATAAATGTATGTGGCAAGCACATAAATATCACACTCAACATTTGGTTTTGTAAAAAAATAATAAACACCTCATCACTGTTTGACTCACATGTAACTGTCAAGAAAAAATAAAACGGTGGTATCTTGAAACAGCACAGACGTCACTCATCTGTGTTTCTGATCACCAATTGTAGGGTGCAGAGACGATGGGAGATGAATGGGATTCTCAAAAACTAGAATTTCCAAAGTCATTAGTCATCTCGTAATACACTAGCGTCACATTGTCAACACTGAAAACACTTATATCATTTGTCCTTTATGGTACTATACGGTTTATGTATTTGGGACTTTTGTCCTCGACTCTATATTTGTACAATGAACGTGTTTTCTTACAGATCACAACACATATTGTATTCACAGTAAACCTCAGCACTTAAGTGTCTTGAAGCAATTCAAATAATGAGGTACAGACTGATCATCGCACTCTGACGAATACAGATCCAGTTTTAACGACATCGCACACGATAGCTGGTCACGCCCACATTTTCACTGGTGAGAACAGCTTTTTTTCATTCTATAGAGAGAAACAGGTACAGGGACAACAGAGAATTCTGTAAGGTAGCTAGCTCCTTACTAGTTCATAAATATACATATGCTTTTTTTTTTTTTGCATTAAAATGTTCTTCAATATTTCGAACAATTTCTTGTCAAGACTTAAAGTAACTTGGCATTTTGCTGACTATAACATGCACCTCATTTCACCACCTCTAACTACACAATATTTACATTTTCTGTGGTGACATGGGACACATGAAAGTACTTACACAGGAGCAACAGACATTTTCATGATTAAATAAAAGCACGAGAGAAGAGCAGTATCCGAACTTTGATAGTCTTGTGGTTAGATGTAGGACGAAAGCAGAAAAAGAAATTTGATTTCTTAAAGTTGATGCTCTCCTGATTTACCACACATAAAAGGCTATCATAAGCTCAGTTTGGAACGGCTTGAGTCTGTTGCAGCCTCTCAACTTCCTCCAAGCTTAACACTTTTCCACCAGGGAGGTCAGGTAGCCCACCAGCTTGTACCTGCAACAAAAAACATGACCGTTAAAAATGCTTAAGGAAAATACAAACCACACAAAATGTTAAATTTTGTGTGACTAATTTCAATGCATGTTCTGCATTGCATGTTTAAAATGAGATATAATTCTCACTTTACTATTTACCAATTTTAAAGTGTTATTTGTCATATTGTGAAAAAAAGAAAAGAAATGGCATCATTTGACATGGGGGGGGGGGGAGGGAAGGCAGTGGGTGGTGGGGGGGGGGGGGAGGAAGCGAGGGAGGGAACGTGGTGGTGATGAGGGAGGGAAAATGGTTGGTGGTGGGGGGAGGGAGGGAAGGTGGTTGGTGGGGCAAGGAGGGAAGGTAGTAGGTGGTGGAGGGAGGGAGGCAAGATGGTGGTGGGGGGAAGGGAGGGAAAGTAGTAGGTGGCAGGGGGGGGGGAAAGAGGGAAAGCGGTAGGCAGGTGGTAGTGGGGGGGGAAGGGAGGGGAGGGGGGGGGGGAGGGAGCTGGTTGGTGGTAAGTGGTGGAGGGAAGGGAAGGCGCTAGGTGGTGGTGGAGGGAGGGAGAGAAGGTGCGAAGTGTTGGTGGTGGTGGAGGGAGGAAGGGAAGGCGGTAGTTAGGTAGGTGGTGTGGTGGTGGGGGAGGAAGGCAGTAAGGGTAGGTAGTAGGGGGGGTGAGTGAGGGAGGTGATGGGGGAAGAAGAGAGTTGGTGGCAGAAGAGGGGGGGGGCAATTGGTGGCAAGGGGGGGGGGGGGGGGGTTATTGGTGGCAAAGGGGGGGGGTGATTGGTGGCAAGGGGGGGGTGATTGGTGGCAAGGGAGGGTGATTGGTGGCAAGGGAGGGTGATTGGTGGCAAGGGGGGGTGATTGGTGGCAAGGGGGGGGTGATTGGTGGCAAGGGGGGGTGATTGGTGGCAAGGGGGGGTGATTGGTGGCAAGGGGGGGTGATTGGTGGCAAGGGGGGGGTGATTGGTGGCAAGGGGGGGGGGGGGGTGATTGGTGGCAAGAGGGGGGGGGGGGGTGATTGGTGGCAAGAGGGGGGGGGTGATTGGTGGCAAGAGGGGGGGGTGATTGGTGGCAAGAGGGGGGGGGTGATTGGTGGCAAGAGGGGGGGGGTGATTGGTGGCAAGAGGGGGGGGGGTGATTGGTGGCAAGGTGGGGATGTGATTGGTGGCAAGGTGGGGGATGATTGGTGGCAAGGGGGGATGATTGGTGGCAAGGGGGGGGGATGATTGGTGGCAAGGGGGGGATGATTGGTGGCAAGGGGGGGGATGATTGGTGGCAAGGGGGGGGATGATTGGTGGCAAGGGGGGATGATTGGTGGCAAGGGGGGATGATTGGTGGCAAGGGGGGATGATTGGTGGCAAGGGGGGGATGATTGGTGGCAAGGGGGGGATGATTGGTGGCAAGGGGGGGGGGGTGATTGGTGGCAAGGGGGGGGTGGTGATTGGTGGCAAGGGGGGTGATTGGTGGCAAGGGGGGGTGATTGGTGGCAAGGGGGGGTGATTGGTGGCAAGGGGGGGTGATTGGTGGCAAGGGGGGGTGATTGGTGGCAAGGGGGGGTGATTGGTGGCAAGGGGGGGGTGATTGGTGGCAACGGGGGGGGTTAGTGGCAAGGGGGGGGGGGTGGTTAGTGGCAAGGGGGGGGGGTGATTGGCGGCAAGGGGGGGGGGTGATTGGCGGCAAGGGGGGGGGTGATTGGCGGCAAGGGGGGGGGGGGGTGATTGGCGGCAAGGGGGGGGTGATTGGCGGCAAGGGGGGGGGGGGGGGGGTGATGGCGGCAAGGGGGGGGGGGGGGGTGATTGGCGGCAAGGGGGGGTGATTGGCGGCAAGGGGGGGGTGATTGGCGGCGAGGAGGGTGATTGGCGGCGAGGGGGGGGGTGATTGGCGGCGAGGGGGGGGGGTGATTGGCGGCGAGGGGGGGGGGGTGATTGGCGGCGGGGGGGGGGGGGGGTGATTGGCGGCGGGGGGGGGGGGGTGATTGGCGGCGGGGGGGGGGGGGTGATTGGCGGTGGGGGGGGGGTGATTGGCGGTGGGGGGGGGTGATTGGCAGCAAGGGGGGGGTGATTGGCGACAAGGGGGGGGGGTGATTGGCGACAAGGGGGGGGGGGTGATTGGCGACAAGGGGGGGTGATTGGCGGCAAGGGGGGTGATTGGCGGCAAGGGGGGGTGATTGGCGGCAAAGGGGGGGGTGATTGGCGGCAAGGGGGGGTGATTGGCGACAAGGGGGGGTGATTGGCGACAAGGGGGGGGGGGTGATTGGCGACAAGGGGGGGGGGGGGGTGATTGGCGACAAGGGGGGGGGGGGGGGGGGGTGATTGGCGACAAGGGGGGGGGGGGGGGTGATTGGCGACAAGGGGGGGGGGGGGGGGGGGGGGGGTGATTGGCGACAAGGGGGGGGGGTGATTGGCGACAAGGGGGGGGGGGGGTGATTGGCGGCAAGGGGGGGGGGTGATTGGCGGCAAGGGGGGTGATTGGCGGCAAGGGGGGGGGGGGGGGGTGATTGGCAGCAAGGGGGGGTGATTGGCGGCAAGGGGGGGGGGGTGATTGGCGGCAAGGGGGGTGATTGGCGGCAATGGGGGGGGGTGATTGGCGGCAATGGGGGGGGGGGTGATTGGCGGCAGGGGGGGGGGGGTGATTGGCAGCAAGGGGGGGTGATTGGCGGCAAGGGGGGGTGATTGGCGGCAAGGGGGGGGGTGATTGGCGGCAAGGGGGGGGGGGTGATTGGCGGCAAGGAAGGGGTGGTTGGCGGCAAAGGGGGGGGGAGATTGGCGGCAGGGGGGGGAGTGATTGGCAGCAAAGGGGGGGAAGTGATTGGCGGCAAAGGGGGGGGGGTGATTGGCGGCAAAGGGGGGGGGTGATTGGCGGCAAAGGGGGGGGGGGTGATTGGCGGCAAAGGGGGGGGGGGGGAGATTGGCGGCAGGGGGGGGAGTGATTGGTGGCAGGGGGGGTGATTGGCGGCAGGGGGGAGTGATTGGCGGCAAGGGGGGGTGATTGGCAGCAAGGGGGGGGGGGGGCAGGGGGTGATTGGCGGCAAGGGGGGCAGGGGGTGATTGGCGGCAAGGGGGCAGGGGGTGATTGGCGGCAAGGGGGGTGGGGGGTGATTGGCGGCAAGGGGGGGGGGGGCGGGGGGTGATTGGCGGCAAGGGGGGGGGGGTGATTGGCGGCAAGGGGGGGGTGATTGGTGGCAAGGGGGGGCGGGGGGGGTGATTGGCGGCAAGGGGGGGTGATTGGTGGCAAGGGGGGGCGGGGGGTGATTGGCGGCAAGGGGGGGGGTGATTGGCGGCAAGGGGGGGGGGGTGATTGGCGGCAAGGGGGGGGGGGTGATTGGCAGCAAGTGGGGGGGGGGGGAGTGATTGGCGGCAAGGGGGGGAGTGATTGGCGGCAAGGGGGGGGAGTGATTGGCGGCTACCTGCTTGATGGGGTTCTGGGAGTTCTTCTACTCTCCAAGCTCGGCCTGAGGCCAGGCTTGACTTGTGAGAGCTTGGTCCACTAGCCTGTTGTTTGGAGTGGCCCGCAGGCCTACATATCCACCACAGCCCGGTTGGTCTGGCACTCCTTGGAGAAAATTATCTAGTTTTCTTTTGAAGATGTCCACAGTTGTTCTGGCAATATTTCTTATATTCGTTGGGAGGATGTTGAACAACCGTGGACCTCTGATGTTTATACAGTGTTCTCTGATTGTGCCTATGGCACCCCGGCTCTTCACTGGTTCTATTCTGCATTTTCTTCCATATCGTTCACTCCAGTACAGTGGTACCTCGGATTACGAGCGTCCCTGTTTACAAGTATTTTGGATTACAAGGAGGATTTGCTCAGAAAATTTACATCGGAATACGAGCGTTACCTCGGAATACAAAAGTGTTGATACGCGTACAGGCCGACCTAGTGCGTGGTGGCACGGTGATCGCCGCTCAGTTTACCAGTGCCTCGCGCCCAGTGACTATCCCTCCTCAATTCTTCACAAGGATTTACAATGTTTTGTCGGATATTTGGCCATTTGAACATAAAAGTTGTTATTATATACTGTATCTCGCAATGGGTCCCAAGAAAGCCAGTGGTAAGGTTCAACCTAAGAAAATAGTTGTGAGTAGAGGCAGTAGAGGATGTCCCTTCTTCATTAAGAAAATGTGTTAAGTATGGGAAGAACTGCAAAGTTTTGTTGAAAAAACTCTCCCAGATAAAGCTGTAGCAGGCCATTGCATTGACCTTTTAAATGACAATGTGATATCTTACTACAGACAGGTGTTAAATTGTAGGGAAAAACATGTATCTTTAGACAGATTCTTAGCAAGACAAGCAAGCAGTGAGCCACAAGCAGGTCCTAGTGGTATGCAGGCAAAACGTGCCAGAGAGTGCACACCAGAGAAGTCCTCACTGCCTGATGTTATAATGGAAGGGCACTCTCCTTCCAAACAGTCACACCTCTCCTCCTCCCCACCATCTTCCATACACCAACAGCAGTCATCAGCAAGGGTAAGTAATAACTTGAACATACTTTTGTAGTGTAGATTTAGATGAATTAGGTATAAAATTTAATTTGAAGTGAGGTTTCTGGGTAGTCAGGAACGGATTAATTCATTTCCCATTATTTCTTATGGGGAAATTAGCTTCGGATTACGAGCTGTCTCCAGGAACGTATTAAACTCTTAAACCGAGGTACCCCTGTATGTTGTTATTTTACTGTGTGGATTTGGGACCTGGCCCTCCAGTATTTTCCACGTGTATATTATTTGATATCTTTCTCGTCTAATTTTTAGTGAGTACATTTGGAGAGGTTTGAGACGATCCTAATAATATAGGTGCTTTATCGCATCTTTGTATGCTGTATATGTTCTCTGTATTCCCTCCATTTCAGAAATCTCTCCTGCTGTGAAACGGAAAGCAAGTACTGAGCAGTACTCAGGATGGAACAATACAAGTGATTTATATAGTACAACCATTGTGATGGGATCCCTGGATTTGAAAGTTCTCGTAATCCATCCTATCATTTTTCTGGCTGACGCAATATTTGTTTGGTTATGCTCCCTAAACGTTAGGTCGTAAGACCATTAGTCTCAAATCCTTTACATGTTGTTTTCCTACTATGGGCAGATTTAATTGTGTTTTGTACCCTGTATTATGTTTAAGGTCCTCATTTTTACCATACCTGAGTACCTGGAAGCTATCACTGTTTAACATCATGTTATTTTCTGTTGTCCAATCGAAAACTTTATCAATATCTGCTTGACGTTTTTCAATGTCTTCAGCAGAGGTAATTTTTGTGCTTATTTTTGTGTCATCTGCAAAGGATGATACGAAGCTGTGACTTGTATTTTTATCTATATCTGATATGAGAATAAAGAAAAGCAGTGGTGCAAGAACTGTACCCTGAGGTACAGAACTTTTAACTGCACTTGGACTTATATTTTATATGGTTGACTGTTACTCTTTGTGTTCTGTTCGACAGAAAACTTAGTATCCAGCATCATACTTTATAGGTTACTCCCATTGACCTCATTTTGTGTGCTATCATTCCATGGTCACATTTATCAAATGCCTTTGTGAAGTCCATGTATACCACATCTGCATTCTGTTTTTCTTCTAATGCCTGAGTGACTTTGTCGTAATGGTCAAGTAGCTATGAGAGGCACGATCTTCCCGCTCTAAATCCATGTTGGCCTGGGTTGTGAAGGTCATTAGTCTCCATGAAACTGGTCTCCTGATCACTCTCTCAAATACTTTTATTATGTGGGATGTTAGGCAACTGGTCTATAATTCTTTGCCAATGCTTTGCTCCCTCTCTTGTGTAGAGAGGCTATGTCTGCTGCTTTAAGCGGTGTTGAAAGATAACGCTCTGGGAATGATAAAATGATAAATTCTAAAGGGAATTTATCATTTTACGAAGAATAAAGAATTTTTTGGGAACATTTTATTTCATGTGCACAGCGGGAATTTCACAATAAAGTAGGCGCAGCACGGTGGTTAAGCGTATCTGGCATCTTCCCCCAATATCCAAGCTCTTCCTCCATACTATACCGAGTGCCTGCACTACTGGCACCTTGCATTTCTTTATAAATATTGAATTCCATGAGTCTGGACCAGGGGCTGAGTGCATGGGCATGTTGTCAATTTCTCTTTCAAAATCTGCCATGCTCATGTTTATATCAGTTATATTTACAAGGGTTTAGATATCACACAAAGAAGTTGTCCGGATCTTCCACTTTCATGCTGTTTATCAGAGTGCTAAACATGTCCTCATACTGCTTTTTACTTCCCTATTTTGACACTCAACCAATCCACAATAGTTTATCAAAGGAATACAAATAAAAACTACAGTCTTGAAATGACAGGCACAATGAAGAATGACAAATTGGCATTAAAAAATGATAAACCATAGAGTATAATTTTACCAACTTACTTAACCTTATTTCACTGATCTCCGCATAACTAGCATCCCGGTTGTTTTTTTTTTGCTTTCTGTCAAAGAGTACCAGTACCATATTTCTCTGCCAGCCGCTTCTCTCTCTAGCCATGATCAAATTTCAATATTATTTCAGCTTATTTATCCATAGAAAAGAAGTTCATTTTTCCTTACCTGATGTAACATTACTACCCTTGTTGGATAAGAACATTTTAATTTCCAAATACTATAACTATATATCCAAAAAAAAGTTAGTGAAAATGCTTGAGTAATGAGGGCAGATCATGCTCACACATGGGAAAACACATGCACTCACAGTAGGTTTTTCTCAATGGATGCACATTACCACAAAATCTTTTGTAAATTTGTTTAGTACAGTACAAGAACTATAAAAATAAATAAATATTTATTATTACCCATTGCACTGTCAGTTGGAACAAACATGAACAAATCTTAACAAATAAAAAAAAAAATAAAAAAAAATAAAATAAAATAATTATCTGCTGGAAATTGAAAGTTTCCCGTTGCTATAATCCCAGTGACGTAGTTGATGCCCTCCATGTCTGGTATTGAAAGTTTCTCAAAGATCCATGTCTCTTGCCTAATAAGCTACACCACCACCTCATCTCTGTCTTTTGTTCCTACACCACCTCCTCATCTCTGTCTTTTGTTCCTTATAATAAAGTACCCCAAGGATATATTGCATCTGTTATTATTTAGAAACTTTTTGCCTCCACCAATACTAGTACAGTACATCAGGAGTCTTTTTCCTTTATCTCATCAATTTTGTTTGATATACCATCGATATTTGTGCACCATGTTTTTAGGTTGCTCTTGGTTACCAAGTTAGCAATAGTCTCCCCACTTCTCTTCATGTTTTGTTGGGTGGAAGGGGCAAATTAGAGTTGTATGGGTATTTTGCATGTTTGAGATACTTTTGAAGGGGTAGTGCTAAGATTCAGGTAGTAGGGTGCAGAGAGAGAGGGTAAGTAGAGGAATTGTGGTGGTTGGGATTGGCAGAAGTAGGTTTTGTGTTGCAAGTGAATTTTGGGTAGAGAATAGGGTATACAGTGTAATGCTTGGGTTGGTAGTTTGTGGCTTAGAGTGGCTTAAGCCTGTGGGCTGAAGGAGGTCAAAGATGTGTGTAAAGAAGAGGAACACTTTTGAGGATAGAATGGGAAGATTGGTGATGTGGGTTGGTGTGCAACTGAAAGTAGCAGCAGCTATGAAAGTGAGGTGAGTAATGGTTGGGATAAGAGTCCATTGGATTTTTGCGTTTTGTAGTGTTGGGGTTAAGAGGCAGTAAGGAATTGGTAGTGAAAGTGTTAACCAAGTGGTTGGCTGTAGCATTGTTGGAATTGAAACTTGGAGAGAGGGGAAGATGGGGGGGGGGGGGCATTTGAGGAGTGGTACTGGAGAGAAGCAACATATTTGTGAAGGAAGATGGTCTCCAAGGAAAGAGCATACATAGAAATGCGAAGTTAGGTTGTATCTAACCTAACTTCAGGAGGCAGGAGAGGCAATTCGCAAGAGGAAAATGGATGGGATGGGCTAGAGGGGTAAAGGCGTGGGAGAAGGTATAGGCTTGTAGGATGTAGGAGGATAGGTATTAAGGAGAAAACAATAGTTTCAAAAAGGGTCATTGATGCTGCTTATGTGGCATCAGTATCTGAATGAATCCAAGATTAGCTATGTTATGGCAATGGAAACTGCAGATGCAATTAACTGGTTACGACACCAGAAACCACTGGCAAAGTTTCAAGCCCTAGGCATCTTGGGCTGTACTGAAATTGAGCGACTACAATTTAAGATTGAACTCTCAAGGTAGTCCTTAACCGAACAGCATCTTAAAGCAACTCAAATGATGCTAACATAGGACATTTGCTATGGAATGGTTTACTTTAACAACCTACTACATCACAACCTACAAATTCAAGCTTTATAAATGTAGACTAATATTATAGCAAAACTAAAGAACCAAAACAAAATTGACAGAAGTCTTGAGACTTGCTACAAGACTGGTACCAGAGATAGGAAAGCTGAGCTATGCAGACAGGTTAAGAGAATTTCAAACTAGACACACTAAAAGAAAGACCATAAGTGATACAATTCCAACATACAGTACTTAGGGCAACAGATAAAGTGAATGAGATGGCACAGGAGGAAGAAAAAAAATGAGATGTAATAAAACATTAGCATGCAAAAGAGATTGTAAACATGTGTAACAAGCCTGAAGCAGAAGTCGTAGATACCATGACCTACTGATAGGTAAGCACAGCTTCACAATTAAGTACAATCTGAGTACTAAAACATTGGGAGGTATAAAAGCACCAGGTACAATTGTTGTGGTGGAGCCCAAGAATTAAATCTCATTCCTCACAGACACAGTTAGGCAAGTACACCTATTTAAAAAAAACATTATAAATAGATCAGTTTAAAGGGTCAGGATTTAAAATAAGCTGATGTATGATAGGAGCACTTGGCTTCTTGTATTTATATAGGAATATTAATACTAATCCTATTGAACTCTAATCTTAGTTAACAAAAATAGAGCGCGCGCACCAGCAAGATAGAGCAGGCAATAAAGAAATTTACAGCATTAAAGCACATCTCTTATCTCAGTTGACAACAGTGGCTGCAAAACTATACAACGCAAAAGTTTGCACACACCTTGAGGATGCATCACACTTAGATGGCTTGCCTCCATCCTATCTCCGACTTCTGGACAGGGTAGAAGACTTCACAAGGTGACTCATCTCTAGCCTCGGCATGGCCTGGCTGCACCTGTTATTTCAGCAAAGCCTTCAACACCAGTCATGTTGGTGGCCTTATATTAATGTACAAGGCTAATTTTCTCTAGGGTCCACATCTGACCCAAATTTAATTAACAGGCAGAAGATGGCTATTTTACTACAAGACAATTATCCCTTGGAAGTCTCACACTGGCTGAAACTTTCTCAAAGACATGACTCCAACAATGGCAATTTAAAATCTTCAGACTATTATATCCTACATCCTGTACCTAATACAAATACCACTTAAATATTAAACAAATTAATAACTATAAATAATTGAATTCCTTCAATAAGGTCTTGAAATGTAAAAAAAAGGTTTTCAATCAACCTTTTGATTAAACTAATTGTCAATGTGTTGAGACGTGAACAATAAGATATCCCAGAAATGTAATATTGTATTTTCAATTCTATAAATTCTTAAAATGAGAGAGAGAGAGAGAGAGAGAGAGGGAACTAAAATGGAGGGACAACATCTGTGTGCATGCTTGTTTATTTGTGCTTGTGGGTAAGGAGGTTCAGTGCTTGGACCTGTCAAAAGTTACAGCCCGGTCTTGTGCCAGCTAAGTCCCACTACAGGCTCACCATAGCCTGTGTTACCTGGAACTTTTTATTCCGAGTAGCTGAATCTTAAAACAACAACAACAACATTGGACCCGTCTCTTCACTTTCTAAAATCTGGTGGAAACATGACTGCTTCTGTACACAGTTAACACACATGAAAATACATATGAAATACATTTATGTATTTCATACATAATATGAAAGATGTGGGCACCTTCACCTCTTACCTTCAGTTTACTATTCATATGTTTAAGGCAAACTTCCTTACATCCATGTGGCACCATAGTATTTCCAGTTTCAATCTGAACTATGTCTTTTGTGTTTCTCACAGAGTGCAAGTTTAATGCAGCGATTGCATGGTTTAGAGCTGACCTCAAAACAATTAAGTATTTGACCCTTCAGGTCATTCAGCATGCACAGAGCCCACTTTATTATTCCTTCTCCAACATTTGGATTACATTTGTTATGATTGCTAGCTCATTTGTGCTTCACTAAAGGTGCACGTTGAAATTTTCTCTCTCTCATTCACACACTCTTCATCCCCCTCTCTGCCCTCCCTCCCTCTGCCTTTGTTTTAGGCTCCTCTTTTACTGACCTTTCTTTTTCCTTTTCTGATCAGTACAGTTTGGTACTTTATATTTTCTAGAATTGAATATCAGCAACCAATTTTTGTGTGCATGCTTATATGTGCCTGTGAGTAGGAAGGACTAGCTCCTGGGCTCACCTTAATTTTTCAAACCATCCTCTAAAAATTGTAGAACTTACATCCACTATGGATGGAATGTACAAAATAAACTTATACAGTACACCAAAATTTCATATTTTGTACTACTGGAATTCTAAAGGGCATAACAAATGAAACAGTAACCATAATCCTATCCTAAGCCTAACATATGCATTCTAATTTAGAACATATATACACTATACTAAGCCCAGGAAAAGTTAGATTAGGTTACCTTCTTTGTTGGACCCTCTACGAAAGTACAGGTACAAAATGTTGACTTTTCTTTTGGGTGCAACAATCCATATTTTGAACATCCATCCGTTTTAACTACACGTACTACAATTTTAGGGTACCAGGTGCAACGCTGCTCACAGGGACTCCTTCCTTATGGTCAATCCCTGTTCTCTACTAGTACACTGCAGAGTACTTCATTACATCCCTCCAGAACAACTACTACACATCTGGTGCAGTATGTGCATGTACTAATTCTCTCTCAATAGGGCCAGACCAAATATTGCCATGGTTACTACAAAAAGCTGTTGGGCTACTAACTATAAACAAAGAGACTGAGGAATCTATAGATATTTGGAAAAATGCTTCGTACCAATATTTAAGTGGGGACAGACAGGAAATCTTAAACTACAGACCAATTTTCCTCAAATTTAATCCATACAAAATGCAGAAGAAAGAAAAATAACGAAACATCAAGGGAACTTCATGAGAACATAATTTTCGACAAAGAAAGCTGTATAAAAAAAAAAAAAAATGGATAATTTTATGATAGTCACCATGATAAAATGACAGAAAGAAGGATAGGGTAGACTGCATTTAAACTGACTTCAAAACCTTTGATACCATTTCAAATTAAATGCTTATGTATTAGAGGGCAGACAGGGATAAATGGAAGGTTGCTGGACTAGGGAAGTACTGTACTGTATTGACAGACAAGAAAAAAGCAGCAATAGGATCTAGAAATAGGTAGACAAATAATATATCAGCACCAGTACAGTATAAACAAAACTGACATGGAATCCTCATCATTTGAAGTCCAAAGACTTACAACAATGTTGGTGTCTGAAATAAAAGAACTAAGGTATGAAGACAAATAACCTAACTCTTAACCCTTAAAATGCAGATATCATATGTTGATTCATGGGGTGAGGCAGCTAAGCTTATAGTCATATGTTGATTTAAACTTTGTTTAATTAATTTAAGTTTTGTATAAACTCTTTGGATACACTGTGTATTCAAAGAGTTCTTAGGATTTCCGTGGTTTTATTCTATATACTGGTGTTAACACTATACAGTGGTACCTTAGTTTATGAATTTAATCCATTCCAAGAGACGGGTCATAACTTAAAAATTCGTAACCTGAAGAAAATTTTTCCAAAAGAATTAATGTAAATGAATTAATTCATTCCACACTTCCAAATATATTAACTTCAAAATACATTTCATACACACACACACATTTTGTAGTATAATATGTAAAAGTTATTGCTTACCTTTACTGATCACTTGTTGGCATATGGAAGACGGTAAGGAGGAAGAGGGGGGGGGAGGGGTTTGGAGAGGTTAGTGTTAGGAAGGGAAGTCCCCTTCCATTATAACATCAGGCAGTGACGACTTCTCTGGGGTACTCTCTCTTCTACGTTTTGCAGGCAAACCACTAGGACCTGCTTGTGGCTCACTGCTTGTCTCACTAAGAACCTATCTATAGACACTTTGTTTCTCACTACGTTTTAACACTTGTCTGTAGCGAGACATCACATTGACTTTAAAATGGTTAATGCAACGGCCTGCTACAGCTTTTTCTGGGCGACACTTTTCAGCAAAATTTTGCAGTTCTTCCCATACTGCACACATTTTCTTAATTAATGAGGAAGGGACATTCTCTACTGCCTGCTCCTTCCCTGAAGAAATTTCCTTAGCCGTTTCTTGTTGCTACTCCTTGTGAAGGGCTATGAGTTCGTCAGAGGTCAGTTCTTCGCTATGTTCCTCCAACTCCTCCACATCGGCACCGTCCAGCCTAGCTAGTTCAACAACCCTCATACCACTTTCATGTTTACAAATGATCTCTGATTTTTCCCTCTATTGTCATCCTCAACTATTTTCTTAGGTTGAACTTTACCACTGACTTTCTTGGAACCCATGGTGTGATATATAATATGAACTTTCATGTTCAGAAGAAAAAAAAAAAAAAGTAATTCTTTACAAAGAATTCAAGTGCGGTTTTGGTCATCATCATGTGGGATACACTGGTAAACAACCGAGCGTGCCTCACTCCCAGTACCACGCACTCGTTCGGCCCATACACATATCAAATGACACATTCCAAGGAAAACTTCGTACATGAATTCAAATTTTACGATGAATTTGATGTCATATACCAAAAAAATCGTACTCTAGGGCAGTCATAAACCAAGGTACCAATGCACAGTGGAACCTTGGTTGACGACTGCTCTATGAATTACAAATTTTTTGATATACGACCTCAAATTCATCGTAAAATTTGAATTGGTACATGACAGTTAACTTGGAAGACAACGTCTGTTCGTATGCGTGGAGTTGGGGGTGCGGGGCGAAGCACTGTTTGTTTACAAGTCTATCCCACGTAGTGACGACCGTGCTTGAATTCTTTGTGAAGAATTTCATTGTTTGCCATCTTTTCTGCTTTTTTAACATGAGAGTTATTATATATCACACCACGAGTCCCAAGAAAGTCAGTATTCACCTAGTTGTGCTTGCCAGGGTTGAGCTCTGCTCTTTTGGCCCGCCTCTCAACTGTCAATCAATCAACTTATTAACTACTAACTATTCCTCCCCCCCCCCTCAGGAAGCAGCCCGTAACAGCTGTCTAACTCCCAGGTACCTATTTACTGCTAGATAACAGGGGCACCAGGGTGAAAGAAACTGTCCATTTGTCTCTGCCTAGTCTGGGAATCAAACCTGGGCCAAAGGATTACGAGTCCCGTGTGCTGTCCACTCAGCTACCAGACTCCTTTCAGTGGTAAAGTTCAGGGGAAGAGGAAGCAGTGAACAATATGGGAAGAAATGGGGGGTACAATATGAGAAGAAAAGTAAAAGTTTGTTGAAGAGGCTCACCCAAATCAAGCTGTAGCAAGCCATTGTGTTAACCTTCTTAATGACAATGTGATGTCTTACTTCAGACAAGTGTTACAATGTAGGGAAAAACAAGTGTCACTAGACAGGTTTTTAGTGAAAAAAACAAGCAGTGAGCCACAAGCAGGTCCTAGTGGTATGCAGGCAAAATGTACGAGAGAGAGTACCCCATAAAAGTCATCATTGCCTGATATTATAATGGAAGGAGACTCCCCTTCCAAACACTAACACCTCTCCTCCTCCCTTCCTCACCATCTTCCATATGCCAACACGAGTCCTCATTCAAGATATGCATACTGTATTGTAGCTAGTACAAAGCGAGTGTTATTCGGTATAAAATACATTTTTAAGTTAATATTTTTGGGGGTGTGGAACGGATTAATTCAATTTATATTATTCCTTATAGGAAAATTCGTTTTGGTTGACAAATTTTTGGTTGATGACATCTCTGGGAACAGATTACGATCGTAAACGAAGGTACCACTGTATATGGAAAAAAGTAAACAGTTCCAATGTATAAAAAGGTAGTCGAGAAGACCTCTAAATCACAGACCATATCATTACCAAGCGTGGAAGTCAAAACACTAGAAAAAACTAGTTGAATCCAAATGGGTTGAACACCTATAGAGTAATGACATATTGACAGACAGTAACAGGAAGATCGTGCGTAACAAATCTACTTAATTTTTATGATAGAGCGACAGAGATTCAACAGTAAAGAGATGATTGGGTTGTCTAGACCTAAAAAAGGCTTTTGACAGAGTCCCATACAAAAGGTTGTTTTGAAAACTGAAACATGCTGGAGGAATGACAAAAAGATTTCTGACTTGGATGAAAATTTCTAACCAACAGACAGATGAGGGCAGTAATCGGAGACAATATATCTAACTGGAGAAGTGTTACTAGCGGAGTACCACAGGGTTCAGTTCTTGCACCAGTAATGTTCATCATCTACATTATCGATCTACCATAAGGAATACAGACATGATCATGTTTGCGGATGATGCCAAGATACTGGGGAAGATATGAGACGCAGACAATTGTAATACCCTTCAAATTGATCTAGATAAATAAGTGCATAGAGAACATGTGGCAAATGGAATTCAATGTGAATAAATGCCATGTTATGGAATGTGGAATCGGAGAAAATAGACCACACACAACTTACAAATTATGTGAAAAGGAATTAAAGAACTCTAATAAAGAATGAGACCTAGGAGTGGTTTTGGATAGTATACCGTCACCAGAGGAACAGGAAGAACATTGTGAGAGGAGCGAATGCGTCGCTTTCCAACTTCAGACTTTCTTTAAATTATATGGATGGTGAAATACTTAAGAAACTGTTCATGACTGAGATAAAAAATTTAATATGCAGCAGTTGTATGGTGCCCATATCTTAAGAAGCACATCAATAAACTGGGAAAGGTGCAAAGGCATGCTACAAAATGGTTTCCAGAATGGAAAAACGAGAGTTAGGAGAAGAGATACTAGGCGTTAAACATGCCAAAATTAGAAGATGGATGAAAAAGAGATGATATGATCACCACTTACAAAATACTAACAAGAATCGACCTATTTGACAAAGAGGAATTCCTGAAACTCGCAAGTTTACTTACAAGAGGAAACAGAGTCAAGCTAAGGAACAAAGGTGTCAAAAAAATATTAGAAAGGTTTTTGAACAGTTGGAACAAGCTAAGTGAGGTGGTGGTGGAGGCCAAAACTTTCAGTAGTTTCAAAGCATTATATGACAGTACTGGGAAGATGGGACACCACGAGTGTAGCTCTCATTCTGTAACTACTAGTACATATAGGTAATTACATTTACTGTACATGAATATACAGTAGATGCGCGCACACACTATACAGTACAGTATATGTAAAATATCATAATCATATAAGCAAAGTTGTCAAAAGATACACTCATCCGATTGGAAAAATTAATTTATAAGATAAATCAATGGAGCTTAACCATAAAAAAAATCCTTAATATCTGGGCATACAAATGTATCATATGACATCAAAAGTAATTGTACTATGTGGAGAACTAATAAGAAAAAAAAGTTAAAATGCAAGTTATACTATGCAGAAATACAATCATCATATTTGTAACCAATCAACCAATCTGAATGTATCTGTCAACTTTAGAAATTATATACAAGCACTTTTTCATCCAATTCTTGCTAACTTTATGGCCCTGGAAATCTCAGAAACCATATTATCCACATTGATCCTCACCTGTGACATTATATCTCTGCCAAAGAACTGGGCTAAGTTGACGGGAGAGCTGCGATGCGAATTTCCTCCCATGGACATTAATGGTACTTGCAGGCCACCATCTGGAAATATAGAGCATCGAGTACAGAAACAATGCAGAGTGCTTCCTCAGTTGCTCTCAGAGCCATGGTTCATGCAAAATATGAAACATGCCAGGCTCTGTTGATGCGATTCTCAAAGTGACAAATATTTGTTAACTGTTCTGCAATGTAAAATGACAAGGGAAAGATCGTGAGGTAATTGTTATCCACCACCAAGAAACCAGGTCGCTATTAAACCAGAGAAAAGAAGAAAAATGAAGTATTGAATGTAATGAATGTCTCATTTTGGGTGTGGGACGAGGGGCGGTCACCTCTGTGGCTCCCTGCAGCTAGCCGCACCGAGATAGTTCCACACCTGTAAGTCACATCAGCCCTTGTGAGTCCTCAAGTCTACTGGAGACAAGAGACCAAAACCTACACCCCCCACCCAATCACAGAGGCAGGACAGGGAGTAGGGAATTCATGATCACCTTCACTGAAACAAAATACTGTACTGTATATAACTGCAAAGTTCAATAGAAAAACAATGCAGCAAACAGCTTCTTGATCAATCCACCCAGTAGTTAAGCCATACCTCCCCTAGTCCCAGTTGGCCACATGTGGCAGCACCACAAAAACTGCTGCCAGATTCCTAGTCACAACCACCAGTCCAGAGCCTAAGAAAATTCAACCAACACCTGGTAGAGGAGAGGGGTCACGGAACCACTGAGGACGCCCCAGCAAAAGGCATTTCATTACGTTCAACACCAATTTTTTGTTGAAGAAAGGTCGCTTCCTGTAGCTTGCTAACTACAAATAAGAAAAATGGGACACACCAGAGGAGGAGAGTAAAGAACACATCCTCAAAGGAGACAGACCAGGACAGGAAACCGGTCAGGGAGCCGGTCGGCCGAGCGAGGGAGCCGGTCGGCCGAGCGGACAGCACGCTGGACTTGTGATCCTGTGGTCCTGGGTTCGATCCCAGGCGCCGGCGAGAAACATTGGGCAGAGTTTCTTTCACCCTATGCCCCTGTTACCTAGCAGTAAAATAGGTACCTAGGTGTTAGTCAGCTGTCACGGGCTGCTTCCTGGGGGTGGAGGCCTGGTCGAGGACCGGGCTGCGGGGACACTAAAAAGCCCCGAAATCATCTCGAGATAACCTCAAGAAACCTTACCAAAAGCAACAATCTCTAAGGGGACCAAGAACTAGGTAACAAGCCATCATCAGTGTTTTGTCTCCGGCTTGTTATGTGAACTGAGCTTTCATTGTATTTCAGGCTGCATGCAGGGTTTTCTTCCCTCAGAGTCTGCTAACACTGTCCTGGCACTTATCTTCTCAGGTGTGTGTTCAGGATTCACCCCCGTGAGGCTAGGCCACTACGGTCATCTCTCACACCTTGGGGGGCTTATCATGAATCTTGATTCCTCTCTTTGAGACCTTGGCTGAGGATTTTTTTTTTTTTTTTTTTTTTTTTTAGTTATGCTAGGGTTATCATGCTTGTTTATACAGCACACTGCAGTAACTATTTGTAGCCTGGTTATTTTGGCTGTGTTTGGCAACTATTCTGCCAGCGAGCAGCTCCAGTGCCTTGGGGGTTTGGCTTGGATAATTACCTCCAGGTACTGGTAATTTCCTCATGGGTCTACTGTGTGGCTTGTTTCATCTCTTCCCAAGCCTACATCATGCCACTCAAGTGTATGGATGCAGGTAAAGCTAAATCAAGGCCCCAAGGAATGGGTATCTACAAGGAAGGAAGAAACAAGGACCACATAGCTGCAACCTAAGAACAAAGCCAACCCTTACCCAAAGGAGGCCTCCTCAAATACCCATCTGAGGACTCTACCGTAGAACAGAAATTGTACCCAGGGAGCTGCGGCTGGGGGAAAAAAAGCTGGAACACTGAGGATAGGGAAGATTCAATGCCTCATCTGAACCCAACCCCCACCAGAGATCAGGACAGGTTGAAGGTCACCTTTACCTTACAAAGATTTTGGGGCTCAGCGTCCACATGGCCTGGTCCTCGACCAGGCCTCCTGGTCACCCAAAGATCCACCCCCAGGAATCTCCCCAGCCCTACAAACTATAAATAAAGACCCTCTTTCCCACAGCAGAGCAGAGTTCCACTTCTGTGGTTGATCAGAAAGAAAAGCATTGCCACACACTCAAAGGATCCAGCCAAATACACTCCTGAAAACAGAAGGTTACAGATCCTTGGTGGGTAACAATGGCTTGAGTGTCCTCGTTATTCATGTGGAAGGGGCATTCCTCAGAGAATGCCAAGCTACACCCACAGAAAACTGCAGCCTGGATTCTGAAACCCTCTGACATCCAGAACCCTGAAGCAAGTAGGGAGGAAATGAGGTTCTGTTGAACCAAACTAGATAGACAATAGAAGGAAGATGAGCAAACATAGAACCAGTAGAATTTACCAGGTGCTCCACCTCAAACTCCTTATTAAACAAAAAGGGCAAAGTTCTGGGACAACCACTTTAGTACCAAGCCAAAAATAAAGTCAATAAATGAAATATCTACCTAAAATAGATATCCTGTGAATCCAAACACTACAGGCCTCAGGGGAAGAGGGCAATAGCCTATCAACAGTTAGCATAACACAAAACAAATAACTACTGGTATGTAGCAAACCAGATGGACATCCTTTCAATTTAAAAAGAGTCAAGTGCAGGCTTGGTGGACTGAACAATGATGAACTGCAACCAAAGACCTCTGGAGCTGACCAGGGCCTTAATGTAAAGATCAAGCAAGACCCCAGGCACTAGGAATGCTTGCCAAAAGGAACAGACACCAAACACAGCCCTTGGGAAATACTTGGCTATGAAAGATATTGGCAGATTGCTGTATGTACAAACACGTGAACCCTCGGGCACCCGTTAACTGCAGAAAACCCCCCAACCTCAAGAGTTAAAGACCCCTTGCACTACTTAGTATGAGGCAGCGTTTACAGTAGGCCAGCTTCTAAGGAAACGAACAAACAGCCACAGTAATTCTATTCTTCTAAAAAGCCACAAACTGGAATGTACAGTACAATATAGCATAAGACTAACAAAAAAACATTTAATGTAATGAAACGCCATTTTTTTGGGCGAGCCCCCCAGAGGCTCCCTGAATCTATCAGGGCTAATATGCAATATATTAGACTAGGGGAATAGTCAATGGAGTTCAGCCTACTGGGGACCACAAGCCAGAACCTGGCCTCCACAGAGAGGCATAGGTTCCTATTAGAAAAACGTAGTTGGACCCCCCCCCTCCATGGTTCGGGGCTTTCCTAATTTGCCATCAATCAGGGTTAGGCACCCCAGAAAAGTAGGCATAACAAAACAGACCCCACATGGTAAGAAAATTACAACCAAAAACTGAACAGAGGACTCCCCCCAATTCCCATAGAAAGAATCAAACAAGCAAACGTCACACACCGCCGCCGTGCCGCTCGTCCGCTCGGCCCCCCCTTCCCCATCCCAGACCCTCTATGCCAGCTACCCAGCAACCCCGATTCGGAGGCTAGGCATCAAAATGCAAAAACCGCCGATTGGGGTGGATGGAGGTTACCATGGAGCCTTTAGGGCTCACCCAGAAAATGGTGTTTTATTACATTCAACGCTGGTTTTCTGTGGGGGAGCCCCTTTGGCCGGCTGCCACTAGCGCCTCGACTCGAAGTCAAGACAACTGGCTGCAACCTGCGACCCGAAGCAACACACGAACGCCCAGGACAAGGAACATTGAACGTTGACTAGATAACGAGCGGCCAGGATCCTGTTCGACCTCTAAAATCCCCGCGCCTGCATATCAGCCCAAGACTGTTGCCGAAAAAGGCAGCCAAAGCAGCAAACTTCTGATCATGGGCATGAGGATAAACCGCAGGCTGTTTAGACTTAATAATCCTGCAGATGACCTGGGAGACCCGAGCCCTGGAACAGGGAATGAGGAAATCCACATCAACCCAAAGCACATCACAGGCCACAGAAACCGAGGTGCGCAGGTAATGGCGAAGAGCCGCAACCGGACACAACACATGATGTACCCCCTGCATGACCAACCAAGCATCAATGACCCAAGGACCCCTTCGGAAAGCATCAGTCTCGTTCTTCGCCAAACAAAAAGAAGAAGGCTGCAAACAAAAGCTGCAGCCTGACCAGGACTAAACGAAAAGAAATCCCTGCGCCGGAGGAGAGAATGAAGCTCACCCACCCGTGCCCCAGAGGCCAATGCACACAGAAACAGAGCCTTGGGAAAACAATCTTGAACCAAAGGGGTCATCAAGAACCAAGTAGAGAAATAGAAGAGCACCCTGTCCAAGGACCAGGACAGCTAAGGCGGTGAATGAGCAGGCCAGAGGTGAAACAAAGCACGAGAAAGCTTACAGAATAGGGTAGAAGTGACATCCACCCCGAATGCAAGCTCAAATCCTAAAAAAAAAAAAAAAAAAAAAAAAAAAAAAAAAAAAAAAAAAAAAATTGCCGAAAGGGTAGGAACCTGCATGTGCAGCTGCACAAGGATCATCATCATAACACGATGAGGAAGCACAGGTGTGACCAAGCATGCATTAATGCAGAACGGTACCTGCTTGATGGGGTTCTGGGAGTTGTTCTACTTCCCAGGGCCAGGCTTGACTTGTGAGAGTTTGGTCCACCAAGCTGTTGCTTGGAGGGGCCCGCAGACCCACATACCCACCACAGCCTGGTTGGTCCGGAACTTTTTAGAAAACAGTCTAGTTTTCTCTTGAAGAGGTCCACGGTTGTTCAGGCAATATTTCTTATAGTCGCTGGGAGGACGTTGAACAGCTGCAGACCTCTGATATTTATACAGTGTTCTCTGATTGTGCCTATGGCACCTCTGCTCTTCGCTGGTTCTACTCTGCATTTTCTTCCATATCGTTCACACCAGTACATTGTTATCTTACTGTGTAGATTAGGGACCTGGCCTTCCAGTATTTTCCATGTGTATATTATTTGGTGTCTCTCATCTCCTTTTTAGAGAGTACACTTGAAGAGCTTTGAGACGATCCCAATAATTTAGGTGCTTTATCGCGTCTATGCGTGCCGTATATGTTCTCTGTATTCCCTCTATTTCAGCAATCTCTCTTGCTCTGAAGGGGAAAGTGAGTACTGAGCAGTACTCAAGACGGGACAACACAAGTGACTTGAAGAATACAACCATCATGATGGGATCCCTGGATTTGAAAGTTCCTGTAATCCATCCTATCATTTTTCTGGCTGACGCAATATTTGCTTGGTTATGCTCCCTAAACGTTAAATCGTCGGACAGCATTATTCCCAAATCCTTGACATGCTGCTTACCTATTATGGGCAGATTCGATTGTGTTTTGTACCCTGTATTATGTTTCAGGTCCTCATTTTTGCCGTACCCGAGTACTTGGAATTTATCACTGTTAAACCGTGTTATTTTCTGCTGCCCAATCGAAAACTTTGTTGATATCTGCTTGTAATTTTTCCATGTGTTCAGCAAAGGTAATGACACCTGCAATGTGCAATGTCATCTGCAAAAGATGACACGAAGCCGTGACTTGTATTTTTATCTATATCTGATATGAGAATAAGGAACAGCAGTGGTGTAAGGACTGTACCTTGAGGTACAAAGCTTTTAACTGCGCTTGGACTTGATTTGGTTTGATTGACTATGGTAGAAGTTACTCGCCACTCAAGCGAGTGGGTCCGATAGAATCCATGCCATGCTCCCCCAAAAATAATGGGCAGTCTCCCAGCCAGGAAGACTACAGGACCTCCAAACACATCCAATACGGGGAAGAAGAACCGAACTCAAATGAGGATAGATCCATCACAAAGGCAGAATCCGGGTCTCGCAGAAGGTACACAAGCACCTCCCGAACCTTCTTAGGTGAGATCCGAGAAACAGAAAACCTCCGGAAAGGAGCCGAGGAACCCAAGGGAACCCGGAACCAAACCCAGAGAGGAGCCGACCCAAATCATACTCATACTGGGAAGGGTGGTAAATAAAACCCTCCCTCTGCAACAACAAGCCCCACAAAGAGGGCACCAACACCCAAGCCCCCTAGGTCAACTCCTCCCCAATCCCGGGATCCCCTAAGTCGGGACCCATGGCAGAGCAGTCCTCCATGCCCTCTTCCCCTGAAGAAAAAGCAGAGTCCAGGGAAAAGGCAGAAAAGAAGGGGTCCTGCTCGTGGGACCCAGAAGCCTCAGCAGGAGCAACTGGCTCGAATGCCTCCATCCCCAACCTGAATGGGGCCGCCCCCGAAGCCGCCCGAATCTCATTACCATCTAAACCCTGCTCCAACTCTGAAACCCTAAGACGTTTGGGAGCAGGAAACAGGGGGTAGGAGGGGGGGGTTGAAGCAGGGTGAACAACAAGGAAAGGACTAGGGAGTGCGGACTGAACCAAAATCGAAGCGACTAATGCCCCCAAGGGTAAATGCCGAGCAGCAAAAACCCCTACTGATATGGCATCCCGAATGCACCAGGGAAGGTCACCCTAGCACGCAGGGGTACTACTCACAAGGCGCTCAGGGAAGGTCACCCTAAGCGCATGCAGCCCATGTACACTTGATTACACCTGGACACCATGCCTCAACACTGCAGAAAACACCACTAAGGCAAAAAACGGCTTAGAAATCGAGGCCAGAGTCGACGACCCACCCTAGATCGCAATAGCCGATGAACTAAGGTTGCTGGGTAGCCGGAGCAGAGGGTCTGGGGCTTCCCGGAAACTTGTTTCATTGTTTGCTTGGGAATTGGGGAAGTTCTGCCTTTCTGTTTGGTCTTCAGTTGTAATTTTCTTACCATGTGGGGTCTGTTTTGTTATGCCTACCTTTCTGGGTGCCTAACCCCGGCAATGGCTTTTCAGAGAAGTCTCCAACCACAGGGGGGGGGTTTTCCAGGGGCCATTGCTCTCTGTGCCTCTGAGGGGGCCAGGTTCTGGCTCGTGGTCCACTGTAGGCTGAACTCCATTGACTATTGCCCTAGTATAATACAGCGCATATTAGTCCGATAGCTCCAAGGAGCCAAAGGGGCTCACCACAGAAAACAACATGCAATACCCCTGGTAATATATATACTGTATGTGTATTCATCAAATAACATTGAATTTAGATAATGACAATATTAATTTATGAAGCTTTTTACCTTGCTTATGGTGATGGTGTAAGGAGGTGATAGGAGTGTTGTTATTGAGCAGGAGCTGTTGGAGAGGACCAGGGGTATTGGCACTGGACAGTCTGTGATGTGGGGGACCTAGATTACCTGCAGGTGGGACTTGGCCTCTCATTAACTGCTGGGCAAACACTGCTTGAGCCTGAGCCTGTGCTGCTTGTATAGCTGGAAACAAAAAATTCCAAGCTAGAACAGGGAAAACAACCTTTAAGTAAGAAAAGTTTGCCTCAAATTATGCAAGAAAACAATATAATTTGGAAATAAAGTGGCACTTTGTATGAATGGATAATCGAGACCAGACTCGTTACATTTTAGTAAGAATCCCAGTCCTATGAGCTTTTAATTTTTGTATTTAATGCAATTTTTTTTTTATGTGACCTGTTGATTACTTTTTGTTGATTCCCAGGATCAACATCCCACAGCCTAGTCACAGACCAGGCTTGCAGGTTGGGGGTCTGGTCAACCAGGCTGTTTGATGTGGCTGCTTGCAGTCTTACACACGATTCACAGCCTGGTTGATCAGGTATTCTTTGAAGGTGTTTGTCAATTTCTCTTATAATCCTTGGACAGCTGTCATGGAGAAATGGGTCATGCCTACCTGTGTTATTAAAAAAAAAAAAAAATAATAATAATTATGAAAAATGTGAGAAAAACACGAAAATAAGTGAATATTTATCATTTCTTAGGGTGGAGGCACTCTGGAAAGGTGCATGGTGGCTCTATCTGGCGTCTATCAACACCTGGTACCCGACTTTGCTGATGCTTCCTGTATTATCCTCAGATGTTTCACTGATTGTTTTTCTGTTTCTCTATTTACAAGTATGTGTGTGTTGAATAACTTGATAAATCATATAACACATGATAACGTTTCAATTGATGATTAGGTTTCCTCGGTACAGTATATGCCATTACAACAAGTAGAGTAATGAAAAGTATATCAACATAATATTCAGTGGTGTTGGGCTCTGGGCAATAACATATGGTCTAATTGGCACAATATGAGTGAAAGTACAGATTGAAACAAAGGCATAAGCTACCAATGTAGCACCTACAGATGATAATCGTCATATGACGATAACCGCATTTACCTAGCAATGTAACCATGAAATGAAAAACACACACAATATCAGAGGTCCGAGGTAATATCACTTATGCAGCAGTTATGTGGTGCCCATATCTTAAGAAGCACATCAACAACCTGGAAAAGGTGCATAGACATGCTACTAAGTGGCTCCCAGAACTGAAGGGCAAGAGGTTAGAGGCATTAAATATGCCAAAACTAGAAGACAGAAGAAAAAGAGGTGATATGATCACTACATACAAAATAGTAACAGTAATTGATAAAATCGATAGGGAAGATTTCCTGAGACCTGGAACTTTAAGAACAAGAGGTCATAGATATAAACTAAACACAGATGCCGAAGAAATATAAGAAAATTCACTTTCGCAAACAGAGTGGTAGACGGTTGGAATAAGTTAGGTGAGAAGGTGGTGGAGGCCAAGACTGTCAGTAGTTTCAAAGCGTTATATGACAAAGAGTGCTGGGAAGACGGGACACCATGAGCGTAGCTCTCATCCTGTAACTACACTTAGGTAATTACACTTCAATATTGTTCCTGCAATTACAAGAAATATTGTTGGAAGAAAAGTGGACAGTTTTCTTTAAGAAGTGCCAGACCAAATGGGTTGTACTGGATATGTGGGCCTTTGGGCCACCCCAAGCAACAGCTTGTTGTACCAAGCTCTGAAGTCGAGCCTGGCCCCAGGCTGGCTTTGGGGAGTAGAATAAATCGCAGACTTCCTACCAAGGGTATAATCAAGGAACAAACAGGAGTTGCCTCATATGGGCCACTACGCCTTCCACAGTTCATTTATTATTATGATTGGTTCACCTCGTAAACTTCATTACTGTACAACCATATAGAGTTGTTAAAACCATGTTAACATAATTAGTATACTTATTCATTTATAATGGATATTTATACCACGATGATTACCGCGTTGGCATGGTATCATTTGTGACAACCACATTTGCATAGTAAGCAATCATGAAACGATAAGATTTTTTTCATGGGTCAAGGAAAAGATCACTACATTCATATACAGATATTATATCCTTATTAGCATCACTGATATAAAACCCAGGCAATAACAGTTTAAATCGACTTTTGATAATTGCATTACCCTGTGAATCAATAATAATAGCACTTTTAGGGTTAGTATTGCCAGCAAAATTTAGAAAAATATTTGATGCACCTGAACCCTCTTTGCAGAAGTCTGTGGGGGAATATGGTCCACTGTGGTTTGGGATTACTTTTCATATCAATGCATACCTATCAGTGCTAAAGGGAGCAAAATGTAGCTTTACATTCTGCAATTTTACTTGTCTGTATCTGTATATTTTAAAATATTGTTAAATTCAAGATCAGTGTCATATTTACTCTATGTGGATGGAGGTGGCTGCCAAGACTTAAATTTTCAGAAACATAAAGCAGAGATCGTACAATGTTTGTTTGCTTATGGATAGAATATATATAGCAAAGCAAAGCACTGTACTGTATTACAGTATTAGAATGTAGACCGAACCACACACTAGAAGGTGAAGGGACGACAACATTTCGGCCCGTCCTGGACCATTCTCAAGTCGATTGTGACAGCCACGTTATTGTGACTCATCGCCAGTATTAGAATCTTACTGTTTTGAGCACATTGAACAGGTTCATCAAGAGAGATTTACATGTTAATTTACTTCTATACAAATTATTAACCACTGTGATGTGCCGAGTTTATTGTGACATTCCACCTGTGCGCATAAAATCAAGTGTTTGCAATTATTTTCTTTTAACTTTTGTAAAATGATAAATTCTCTTCCCTGAACACGTACATGTAAAAAAACTAAAAAATTTAATTAACTTTGGCTGTGGGGACGTGGAGAAAGGGGCGTCAAGGCTGGTTGCCCGTGCGTGATGCTCCCGGAGGCAGTCATGCGCCCTATTCAAGCACTGCGAGTTGCCACAAATATATTTTCAATCATTTGTTCTATGTATTTCCAATATGGTTTCATTTGTTTTTATCGTATATGATGCAAATTTGTGTTCTTTGCAATATGTATACAGTAGAATGTTCATAATGTTCCACAGAACTGATACACGTGTCAGTAATGTGTCCACAATAAACATTTATTGTCTCAATATTTCTTAAAAATTCACTAAAATTACAACATGCACAATTTCACACACTATTTACACAGTAACACAATGTATTACACACTCATTACTTCGGAAGTGAGTGATAATCAACAAAGAAACCATAGTACACAGCGAGACTTCACTCTCGTTGCACCAGGTACAGATAGATTTTTGCTTCCTGTTTCTTTGTTCTGTGTGCTTACAAATAACGTACTCACATACATCCTTGGCTTCAGTGCCTGTAGGTGGTATGTGGCCAAGCTTGTGAAGCATAAGGTAGTACTGAAAAGATTATAGGAGATAAATTTGTAAGGTAGTCATGAAAAAATTGCTTTGTAAGGTCCCCTCACTGGAAGAGATTCAGTCAATCCGAAAGTGTGTCAGCCATTCTGGAAAAGATTCAGTCAATCAGGAAGAGATTCGGTCAATCAGGAAAAGATTCGATCAGGAAGAGAGAGAGAGAAAAAGGCCATTCTGAAAGAGATTCAGCTATTCTTGAAAATATATATGGAAAACACCACCATGGAAGCTGCTAACACTGAAGCCATCTATGCTACCTGTATCAGATGCATCATTACTGAACCCAGAAAACGATTCATCTATAAAAATGCGTGCGCAAAAATCTATGAAATTGGAGATGGCAAAGGAGCTTGCGTCCCTTGCTCCCTGAGGTGGTTCAGAGCTACAACTGGATACACTCACTATATTGTCCTCATCAGTGCTGTATCACTTGCATCTGACCTTTGTGTTAGGTCCTTATTGTGCCTAGCTCGATCAATATCATGACCCTTATGTTCTTCAAACAATAAGGTCTGAATTTCACCAACAGCGATCTTTAAACACCGCATCGGACAGGTGTTTGGGAGCCAGAAGTGCATGCGCCACCCATGGTTGCTCACTCAGTACTAACCCAGTCAGCAGCCATAGGGCTTTCTGAGAATTTTTTCCAAGATGGCTGCCTCTCACTAGAGGTCCCAAGAGTCCATTTTGTACACAACCTACCACGCACACATTTTGAATGGGTACAAAGTATTCAAAAGGTGTTTTCTCGGTTGGCACAGCACAGTGGTTAAAGCTATGGCTGGATTAAACATATGCAAAACTAAAATATATGGAATATGAGATACTGAAACGCTACTGAAAACTACTAAGATTATATGTCCTGTACAGTATACAATGCTGTACATGTACTGTATAGCATATAAAATAAATTATCAAATGCTGCTGTGTTCATTCATGTGTAGAATGTGAAGATACAGAGGTGATTTGTTTTCCAATGATTTCCTTTTCCAATGTTTTCCATGTTCAGAAATCATTTCCATGGCTGAATCATTGGAAATTCATGCACAGTATTATTGTCCTACTTCATGTCTAACATAATAGAGTATGACCAAAATGTATAATACATGTACAGTACTTGTTATTATAAAAAAAAAAAGCACATTTACTGTAATATTTACTTTAGCACATTTACTTTAGTCTAAGAGATGGAGAGCAAAACAAACAAAATATATATAAATACAGTATAATGTAAAATTTAATAGTAATATGTATAAAACCTGTTAGTAACTATGAGTTTACTTATAGGTAATCTGTTTCCCTGTCTTGACCAATGCATATGAAAAGCATTACAATTTGATTTTAACAAACTGATGGATTTTTAATAAAACAGTTGGAGTATACAGACATACCTCTGATATTGTTTAGATTTTGTTGAGTCCCTCGTGGTAATCCCAAGTTTTGTGGCTGCAGAGATGTTGAAGGATGCCGTTGGCCAAGCGGAGACATGTTATGATGACTCATGTTCATTATGCCTGGGCTCCCACATCCCATTATCATGGGCCCTTTTCCACCCATTATGGGGCCACCTGGTGATAATGAGGTGCTATTGGGGGGTAGCGGAGAGGTGCCACGACGCATATCGCGTTTGTTGTCGACCTTCCCTCGACCTATAACTACAAGATTATGATGTATACAAACTTTAAATGTACCCTTTGTTAATTTAACTAAACCAAGACCGATTCGAGTGCGCCAAAATAATTTAAACCAGGATTTTTTTAATATTTTCTGCAACCGATACAAAAAAATCCTGGAATTAGATGATCAAGGGGCTATATCCATTGAAAGGTGTACCTTCCTCCTCAGTATATATATCCACTGAGAGTTTACTTTATTCCTGGACCATTTTCAGGACTAAAGTATACTTGTCCATTGGTCAGTACACACTTATGGTTGCCTTAATAACCCTCCAGAGGTAGATAGGCCTCAAGCCTAACACCAAACCAATTAGGCCATTTTTATAAAAGGGGGCCTAGAAAATTCATATGCTGTATTACACCACAATAATGTGGTGTGCTGAAGCTAAACGTCATAAGTGAATCTATAAAAACTACAGCATGAAAGTGATCAAACAATTAATTTCAAGTCACAAACTTTATCTTAGACTGAAGACAATACAGCGACACCTCGGCTTACGATTGCCCATTTACGAACTTTTCAGGTTACGAGCCCAATTTCTTCGGAAAATCCAAATTGGGTTACAAGCTTTGCCTTGGGAAACGAAGTTTGTTGATACGTGTATGACCAACCTAGCATGTGGTGGCACAACGATCGCATCTCAGTTTACCAGTGCCTCCCGCCTAGTGACAATCGCGTCTAAATTCTTTGTAAAGAATTAAGTTTTTTTTTTTCAGATTTTTGAGTATTTGAACATAAAAGTTGTTATATATCTCACCATGGGTCCCAAGAAAGCCAGTGGTAAGGTTCGAGCCATGAAAACACCTGTGAGAATGACCAGAGGAAAAACAAGAGATCATTCGTAAAAATAAAAATGATACACTGGTTGTTGAACTAGCTAGGCAGTACAACAAATCTATGCCAATGATTTGCACTGTACTTGTTAAGAAAAAGGAGATTATGAGTGCTAAAGTGGCAAAAGGTGTATCAACAATCACAAAACAAAGAACACAAACACTTGATGTTGAAAAGTTATTAATTTAGATACACAAGGAGTTAGCATGTGATAGCGTTTTGGAGGCCATCATTTGTGAGAAAGCAAGGCAATTGCACGAAGACCTTTTAAAGAAAACCCCCTGGAACGAGTAATGCAGATACGAAAGAGTTTAAGGCAAACGGGATGGTTTGAGAAATTTAGAAAAAGAAGTGGTATTCAGTGTTGCGAGGCATGGGGGAGACTGCCAGCTCAGACAAACCAGTGGCTGAAAGATTTATTGACGAATTAAAAGATTTTGTAGAGAGTGAGGGATACCTACCACAAGTGTTTAATTGTGATGAGACAGGCCTATTCTGGAAAAGATTGCCTAAGAGGACATACATTACCCCAGGAGAAGTCATTGTCCGAACACAAGCCTATGAAAGATAGGTTTACTCTTGTGTTGTGTGGTAATGCAAGTGGCAATTTGAAAATTAAACCCTTGCTTGTGTATCATTGTGTATCATTTTCTTGTGCAGAAAAGCCAAATGTGTGTGATGTGGAGGGCTAATAGTAAGGCATGGATGACAATGCAATTTTTTATGGAGTGGGTGAATGAGGTGGTTTGCCCTGCCATAAAAAAAAAAAATTACCTGCAGGAGAAAAGTTTGCCACTCAAGGCCCTGCTTCTCCTTGACAATGCTCATCCTCCAGGCTTGGAAAATGCATTGTTGAACAAATTTAATTTTGTTACAATAAAGTTTCTTCCTCCTAACACCACCACTCTAATTCATCCTCTGGACCAGAAAATCATATTCAATTTTAAGAAACTTTAAAAATTTTTTTTTAATGAAACGGCACTTTTCTGGAGATGTTTCGAAGTGATTGATGCCACAAACCCCACCCTCAAAGAGTTCTGGAAAAACCATTTTAACATTTGTAGTGCTTTAAAATTCTTTGACTAAGCCTGGCAAGAAGTGACTCAAAGAACCCTGATCTCTGGCTGGAGAAAATTGTGGCCTGATTGTGTTTCAGAACTAGACTTTGAGGGGTTTGAGCCTGGACCTGAAGTGCCTATTGTTGAGGAAATTGTTACTCTGGGCCAGAAATTGGGCATGGAGTTGGATGATGCTGATGTGGAGGAGTTGGTGGAGGAACACAGCGAAGAACTGACCACGGAAGAACTAGCATTTTACAGCGAGCCACAACAAGACACAGCTGAGGCAATGTCTTCAGGGGAGGAGGCAGCAGTAGAGAATGTACCTTCCTCAACAATTAGGAAGTGGTTTAGGCTGTGGGAAGAAATGCAAACTTTTGTTGAAACGACTCGCCCAGAGCAAGCTGTAGTAAGCCGTTGCGTTAACCTTTTTTTTAATGATAATGTGACGCCTCACTACAGAAAAGTGTTACAACGAAGGGAAAACAATCCTCTATGGATCATTTTTTAAGTGAGAAAATCATGCAGTGAGCCACAACCAGGTTCTAGTGGTATGCAGGCAAAACATGCCAGAGAATGTACTGCAGAGAAGTCCTCACTGCCTGATATTATAATGGAAGGGGACTCCCCTTCCAAACACTAACACCTCTCTTCCTCACCCCCGTCTTCCATACACCAACACAAGTCATCAGTAAATTTAACACTTTCGCGCTATCCGGACTCACCGGCGAGTCCTGTTTCGTCTAACGCTAACGCATAGTGGACATAAAGTTATGTCCTCTTTTAAAATATTTGTATAAAATTCAATTTTTATCCGATTTACTTTGGGTTTGCTTCAAACTGTGCGCCATGAGGCTCTCTTTCTCACCATCAGCTTGCATGGTACAATAAGTTCATGAAAGGTGTGGACCACTTCGATCAAATGGTATTATGTCCCAAACGGGTTGCAGGTGGGTGACTTTAGCCGTTTATACTGGTAATGCTTCCCCCATATCATGTATTATATGCATATGTCTGTTTAGGGAATTTTATTCCGATCAATGTACAACCAAAAATAACTGTGTGCAACAAGTATAAACTTGACAAACATAACAAAAGTAAAAACATTTCGTGTGTATTTGACGCTCACTGATATGTTCCAGCGTTGTTTTATATTTGGCGCTATTCTATCTTACGCTTTGTTGATCTTTTTTACCTATGGGCTCATAGAACATTCTATTGCGAACACATTGACACAAAAATGAATGACGTACATAGAAAATTAATGTCATGAGAGTGAAATAAGTATAAACTTTCAAAGCGCCGTGCGTCGTCCCGTCACCGATACCGGGTAACAATTTCACCACTTCCCACTCTCTTGCTGGCGGGCCGCATCATTATTCTACGCTTATATTCATATCACCGTGTTGGGAATTTCATTGCGAGTCCATTGATACCAAAATTAACGCTGTAGAACAAGTGTGGAGGTGATAACAATCCCAAGAGTAAAAACATTTTGTTGCTGTTGGGCGCTCACGGCGAGTCATCTTCGTAGTTATTTATTTGGTGCTGGTATCCCTATACGTTTCGTGACTTTTTTTACTGATGTTCTTCTAGAGAATTTTATTGCGAACACGTTGGTACCAAAATGAAATACGTAGCTCGAGAACTAAGGTCATGAGAGTAAAAAGAGTATACACATTTTTGTTTTTACGCTTACGCGGCAAAACGCTCTGCGCACTTACGGTTGGCTGAGTGACCTTCGCGGAGAGCGCGAAAGTGTTAAGTAATAACTTGTATATACTTTAATACTGAAGATTTGGGTGAATTAGGTATAAAATTTACTTAGAAGTTAATTTTTGTGGGAGTCTGGAACGGATTAATTCAATTTACATTATTTCTTATGGGGAAATTCGTTTCAGTTTACGAATATTCGGCTTACGAACCGACTCTGGGAATGGATTAAATTCGTAAGCTGAGGTACCACTGTATTCCTGATTGACTAATAATTTATCTGGTACCCGCATAAAAGGTCACTGGCACCATGCACACACAATACACCAAACCTTGCATTTATGAAGTACATAAGTATCAGCTACTCATCCAGAAGTTCCAAAATGACAGGGATAATCCCAGGGTCCAACAAGAAAACAGTTTATCTCAAGTGTATGCAGTATTTTAATTTTTTCTAACCTTTGGCTAGAAGAGAAGCTTTACAAACTACCAACACCCCCCCCCTCCTTTACATAATCGGAGCATGAAACCAATTTCACCTCAAAGAGGTAATGTGTCAAGAGGGGATAGCATTTCTGAAACTCTCTCACAATCAAGACAGTTTTTTAAACATATAAAAAAACAGGCACTGGAAAGCCTTCAATTTTGCTCTACTGTAAAGCATGGATGTGGTGGAACAAGTGAGTCCATTTTATACATGCCTAATGTCGTCACTCGCTCCAACCCCTCACTTCGGAGCCAGAAGAAGGGGTGGGGTAGGGGTGGGTGGGGGGGGGAGAACGAGGGGGTGTGGACTGAACTAGGGCCGAAGTGACCAACACCCCCAAGTCCGGGTCCCTATAAGCAAAAGTCCCGGGCAGTCTCGGAACTTCCAAGGTAACAATCAACCTAGCACATCTACTGAAAAAAATAGTCAAACATCAGACACCAAAAAAATCACTGGTACTATTGCGAACTTGTCAAAGTACTCAATCATAGACTCGACAGAACAAGGAAGCTATACAAAAAGCAGCCAAGTGACCGCAACTGGACCTTACTTTTTGAGGTCAAGGAACATGTGCATCAAGAGACCAGGATAATAAAAGAACAAAAGTGGCTGGAATCGTGTTCACATCTGAATGAACACACCTCTCTTGGAGAGATGTGGCAGCAAATCCACCGCACCAAATTAAATAAAACACCTAAAGCCCCACACCCTAAGGATTCACATCAGGAAGCCGAAGTACTGGCAACCAGGTTTGCAGAAAGAGCAGCCAGTAATCAGCTTCCACCAGATGTATTAGCAGTGCAGGCAGAATTAGAAGATAGGTGGCACATAATCCTTACAGCATGTGCAGAAGTCCCTGACACATTTACTGCACCCCTTTCACACAGGATGAACTGAATCGGGCTAAGAAAAACTCCAAAGATACATCCCCTGAAGACGACAAAATAACTTAGACAATTATTAAAAACCTCGGCTCAGAGGGAGACCTGCATACCTTAGGTTATTTAATTTAGCCTGGACTTCTAGACCTACAGCTTGGAATAGGGCAGACAGTGCCAATCCCAAAACCCAAAGATCCAGCTAATCCAAGGCCACTCTTTCTTCAAAGCCGTGCAGCCAAGACGGCTGAAAGAATGGCACTCGACAGACTAGAGTGGAAAATGCCTAAACTGCACCAGGATATGTATGCCTATAGAAGAATCATTGGCACATTGGAATGTATTACAATTCTTGTTAGCTGTCATTCAACTCTTGAATGACAGACCAAGAATGCCGATATCCCTGGATCTCAAGAAAGCCTTTGAACTGGCTAGCGGCTCCATCTGTTCTCTGCTGCCTCATCGACAGAGGTCAAAGGCAACCTGCTCTCCTGGACCAAAAATCTGTCTCAAACAGTGAAGCAAGAGTAAAACTTCATGGCACAGTCTCTGAATACAAAAAACATGAAAATGGTACACTGCAGACACATTCTCAGCCCCCTTCTCTTCAACTGTTTAATGGAAAGAATAATGAGGCTGAAACTCCCACAACACTGCAGGCTGCTAAACTATGCGGACGACTTTGTCATCATCATAACAGGAAGAAATGCGGCATGCCTTGCACCCAAATGCTTAGACTGCATCAATGAAGAGGCAAAGCAGATTGGTATCAAACTCAACCCTACAAAGACAAAAGCCATGCCCATAAAAATAGTGAAGCCCAACATCCAACTCACAGTACAGGGTCAACCAATTGACACATGGACATGGTGGACACTTATCAGTATCTAGGAATAATCCAGGACACACACAAATTTTAATTACGAGGTCACATACTAAAGAGAGAACTACGACCCGGACAGCAATCCTCAGGTCGCTAACCTCCCTCTCTCTGGAGGAGCCAATCTGCAAGTCCTTCGCACATAATATGTACAGGCAGTTAGATCATTGATCGTCTATGCAGCACCTGCACTCACAAGCCTATCACAACAACAGTGGAAAAATCTTGAAGTTGCCCAAAACAATGCTATGACAGCTGCCCTAGGAGCCCCTATGTGGCTTGAAACTCTAAAGACTAGAAACGGGTTTGCCCTCTCTACAGGAAAGAATATCGCAATGAACAGCTACAATTATCAGTAAGATAATTGTTTCCCCTGATCCACTCCCGGTACGACAGGCCTTGGTGGTTGGACTTGGCCAAAACAACAGAAACTCTTGGGCTGCCAGAAAGGGAAAAGTCCTAAACAGACAACAATTAAAAAGCATGATTCTTGATAGAGGTGATAATCAACCACACCCAAACTACACCTGTTCCCCCACTGTGGGAGGAGCCTACCTTCAGAATGGTAACAGAAGGTCTTCCAGTGAAAAAGTCTGCCTATGATAAAACAATCCAAAGGCGCATCATAGAAAAGCAAATGAGCAGCATTGCAGTAGCAGGAGCCACCTGCCACATCTTCACAGATGGATTGGTGGACACAGCGTATGAGAGTGCTGGTGCTGCTCTTGCACGGACAGCAAACAGACATATTGAAAACTGGGAAGACCAGAATCATCAACTCAAACTGAGCTGTTTGCCATACAACAGGCATATGTGATTGCACAAAACACTCAGAATGCAATCATACACAGACTCAAAAGCTGCATTTCAAATATTAGGAAAAAAAACAGTGGAAAGACAACGTGGAAATGGAATTTACCACCATTTTGTATCTTGGAGCAGTCGCTAAAGGCAAAAGACTCAACCTAATTCTAAACTGGATCCCATCCCATGTTGGAATACCATTAAATGAGAAAGCCGATGAAATTGCTAAATTGGCAACTCGTCATCCAGTGATACATAAAACAATTCAACCCAGCCTAGAGTACATATACTCACCAAAAGCCTCTCACACCTCAACAAAGCCCATCTACACCAGAGAATAGCAAAAGGTTCGCCCTCCGCAATATGGTATTTACAGGATACCAAGTTAGAAAGGTTAAACATCCCAAAAGGAATCCACAGGGAAATAGCAGTTCGGTTATATAGTCTACGTCTAGGTTACAGATGCAACTGGGAGATTTATGAGCCCAGACAAAGGGAATGCATCTTCTGCCAGTCACAGAAAAGCCACTACATCACTATCTCCTGGAATGTCAAGCAACCGACGACCTTAGAAAAGCTTTATGAGTCACTAAATCTTGCAGTAACCACCCTGAAGCCATCAACACTACCACTCATCTGGTCAAAAAAGGTGTCCAGAAGCTGGACACCTTCAAACACTGTCAAGCAGTATCCTTCCCCGCGATAGCAGCCTGGCGATTTAAATGCAACCTTAGCACACAGTATACAAAAAAAAAAAAAAAAAAAAAAAAATTACCACTTACAGGCTATTCATGCCCATGCCACCACCTGGTTGGCTTAATCCTAATCAATCAATCAATCTAGCACATTGCAGCAACCTAAATCTAGCATGCAATGCCTGAGCTGCCTGCATCCTGATAAAGTCATCGGTGCACTGGGAGAATTGATTAACAAACGAGCAACAAATCTCACAGGACTCTGGGTCGAATGTGTCAATGACCCAACAGGCAGCATGAAGGAGGCAAAAATAGTGAGTCACCAGAGACAAGGGGACAGAGTAACCCTCAAACTCGCACAAGGCGAGAGGGGACTAAGGAGTTGCATCCATCAGACCACTTGCGCCCCTGCAGGGTTTCCCAGGGCCCTTAGACTGGTATCGCTAAAGGTAAGTCTAGGCCGGGTACTGCAAATTGGTGCCCAAGTCTACCAATCAAACCACTAAAAGCTGAATCCCCAGGACATGTCCACTCACGCAGGCCTAACAGGGGGTACCACCAAGAAACGCACATGAATCGAAACCTAATATAGATAGGGGGCAACAAACCAAAGGCAGACCCCCCTCACTAGGCAAGAAAGCAAAATAAAGGAAAAACCCCGCAAGAGGACAACATACCTAGGTGGAACAGAGCCGACCGGTATAATACGTGGTAACTAGCAGTGCAGTACCCCTCGCCCCTACCAGTGCAAACTACCCCTTACCCTAAGGTAAACAATGGCGGAGGAAACCCCCCCAGCACACACAGGGCGGTCAATTACCGGGCAGCTAAAGACCAAACGAGGTGGACCCCAAGGTGACTTGTGGAAGATAACCCCAAGCCCCAAGGGCAGTACTGTACTTACAGGGATATTAGGGAAGGGAACCCTAAGCACATGCAGCTCAAGTACCTGTGAAGATTACTCCCAGCTCACGCACCACCCTGAAGACAGCACTAAACACAAGGCACAGCACCGAGACAAGAAACAGGAGTCACACGACCAAGCCTCAAACACATCAGCCAAGAACTGAGGTGTGGGTTACCGGCGTGAGAGGTCTATGGCTCCACCTTTCCCCTGCCGGGGAGGGGGGAGCTGCTCAGACGGCGAAACAGCACATGGTTACGTCATTCTTGTTTGCTTGTTTTTCTTTGGGAGAGTTTTGTTCACTCGTTTGAAATTTAGTACTAGTTTCAACCAGAATAGGGGTTTGCTTTGGGATGCTTACCTTTCTGGGTGCCTAATCCAGTTGATGACAGACATAGAATGCTCCAAATCACATGTGCAGTTCTATAGGTCATTGCTCCTCGTGCCTCTCTGATGGGGCCAGGTTCTGGCTCGTGGTCCCCGGGAGGCCTATGAACTCTATTCACACTGACTGATGGCAATGTCTAATAGTTCCAAATTAACCTGGACAAGCTCCAGTGAGCCAAAGGGGCTCCCCCCCAGAAAACAATAAGGAAATAAACTATTCTCTTCAAAATTAACTAAACAATAATTAAATTACTTTGTAATCAAATACTCTTCTAGAAACTTTTCTCCAAAAATACACATAACTAGTTTGAAAAACTATTCAAATGTCAATTTTCATTAGCTGATCTTAAAAGGAGAGGCAAATATGGAAAACAAAGGGGACAGTGTTGGTTATACTTAACCAGCCTTTGCAGAATATTCAATCTGTGTATTTCAAATCCATTAACTCAAAACTTGTTAAGAATGACAATACATATTAATTTAACACTTTGGCTTCATTATGACATTCTTGAAGTCATTAAAACAACACACTCAGTGTGGGACATAACGATAATGCGGTCAACAATTAAAATGTCTGTAAAAATTAAATTTATTGTCCGATTATTATGGGACATTTTAAAATGTGAGCCAACATCTTGACATTCTCCCCACGTGGCATAATGACACTGCTGAGTGGGTGGCCACCCGTGCACCCTACCCTCGGGTCAAAACGTGCACCTGTTCTGGTTGTTTTATCTCGGGTAATTTTTGTTATTGCCTTTATGAACACGAAGCAACAAAAAATTGAATGATTTCGTGTAAAAAAATATTGTTGGGAATGAATAACACCTGTAAACAATGATGAAAAAACTGTTTTGTTCACAGGACGATGTATTTTATCTTATGGTATTGGTAATACAGTAATGTTGTTCTATTTGACCTTATATGCATATATATCCCTTTAGAGCATTCTATTGCAAGTAATTTGATACCAAAGTGAATGGTGTAGCACAAAAATTGAAATGAGAAAACTGTAAAGAGTATAAACATTGGAGTATGGTTGTGCACTCACGGGCAACACGCGGCCTACCTTGCGGTGTGTTGCGCGTGGACCACCGGGCCGCGCAAGTGTTAATTTTTTTTTTAAACAGACAAGAGAAACAACTAGAAGAAGTCACCTTGTTGAGATTGTAGAGGAATTTGAAGCTGCACAGTTCCACTCGCTGAGTTATCAATCTGTTCACGTGTTCTATCCCCATCTTTCATCAGGTCACTAACAATTGGACTGTAAAAGAAAAAAATTAATAAAAGATTTTTTCATCATTATATTTGTAAAAATTTGTTTAGCAAAGTACAGTACTGTACTTGCAAAGGTAAGACAGGAGAGCAGTAGATGTACAGGTAAGGCATGCTAAATGCAAAAGCATACCCATCTATTCACCATATCTAACACTAACATCACATGAAGATCCAGCACAGCTGCTACCCACCAAATCATTCACAATGGTGTTCAATTTAAAAAATAATAATGTTGAAATACACTTCATTTAACAGAGAAGATGCATTCCCTCCACTGTAATTTATTACTTACATCCAACAGAAATGTCACAAGTGGAGTACCACAGGGTTCAGTTCTTGCTACAGTGATGTTTATTGTCTACATAAATGATCTACCAGTTGGTATACAGAATTATATGAACATGTTTGCTGTTGATGCTAAGATAATATGAAGGATAAACTGATGATTGTAATGCCCTTCAAGAAGACCTGGACAAAATAAGTAAATGGAGCACCACTTGGCATTTGGAATTTTGGGTGCATAAATGCCATGTTATGGAATGTGGAATAGGAAAACATAGATCCCAAACAACTGATAAATTATGTGAAAAATCTTTAGATACTTCTGATTATGAAAGATCTAGGGAGTGGTTCTAAATAGAAAACTATCACCTGAGGACCACAAAGAACTTTATGCGAAGAGCCTATGCTTCGCTTTCTAACTTCAAAATGGCTTTTAAACACTTTCGCTCGGTAACGACTCAGCATTGCGTCGTTTTTTTAGTAGACGCGTTTCCTGTAATGACGCAGCATTGCGTTGTCGGGAAATTGGCGGTGGCTTCCGAAGGAACGTGCCGCGGTTTTGGATATTATATGCATATACTCCTGTTGGGAATTTCATTGCGAATACATTGATATCAAAATTAAAGACCTAGGACCAGAATTGAGGTAACAAAGTTGAAAACAGTATACCCATTTTAGTAGCGCTCACTGGGATTACGCTCCGTCATTTTCTCTGTTTGATGTGGGTGGTACGCCTGGCTTTTGGACTTTATATTTCCATATATTCCTGTAGGGAATTCTATTGCGAACACAATGTTACCAAAATGAAAGACCTAGGACGAGAATTGAGATGTCCAAAGTGAAGAGAGTGTACACATTTTATTGCTCTTGTGCGGTTCTGGGTAATACGTCTTCCTTTCTCACTTTTTCGCTGGGCTTTTGGGCTTTATATGCATTTTGTCTTGTAGAGAATTCTATTGCAAACACATTGATACCAAATTGAAAAACCTAAGACGAGAAATGAGATGACAAAGTGGAAAAGAGAATACACTTTTCAGTATTACTGCTCTCTCTAATGTAATGAGAGGTGCCTTGGGGTGGCGCAGTATTCTCTTTTTGGGCCACTTTCATCTTGTCGGCGCTGCGTTTTTTTACTTTATATGCATATACTCGTTGGGAATTCTATTGCGAACACAATGATACCAAAATGAAATCCCTAGGACGGGAATTGAAGTGACAAAAGTGAAAAGAGTGAACACATTTTATCGCTCTTGTGCGCTCCCAGGTAACAAGCACTCACTTTCTGTTTGTTGTGGATGGTACTCCAGGTTTTTGGACTTTATATGCCATTAGTCCTGTAGAGAATTCTATTGTGAACACAATGATACCAAATTGAAAGACCTTGGACGAGAATTGAGGTGACGAAGTTGAAAAGATTATACACTTTTCAAAATTACCGTGGGGTCCCGTAAAATGCTGAGGTGGGCCCACCTGAGGTAGTGCAGGTCTTGCGCATGCGGTGCAATAAAGTGTTAAACACATGGATGGCAAAATACTAAAAAATTGTTAACAACTTTTGTTAGGCCAAAGCTGGAATATGCAGCGGTTGAATTGTGCCCATATTGTGCCCAATGCAATGCGCATTGCATCTTGAGGCTCTCAACGGGTCGTGCGCAAGGCACCTCAGAGATCTTATAAGTATAGCGTATCATTCAAAGTTCCCGCGGCTACACAGGGTTCACATCAGCTTCCTCAGGGCTTTCCTAAACAGACGCCATTTAAAAACAAATTGTGGGCAACATTCCCAGGTGTGAGGGGCCTTGGTACTGAGTGAGTAACCAAGGCTGGTGCACGTAGCATGAGCTAACAGCATTGCTGTTCAGCTTTTGACCACAGCATCGCCGAAAATTTTCCAAATATATGTATCTGGTATTATTTAGCCACGATATTATTACACAAGAGCCTGACTATGATAAAGACTGTGTACAAGATTGACTGTGTTATCACTAACAAGCATGGTACTCAAAATACTAGAAACAATAGTTAAAGCCAAATGGGTTGAACACCTAGAGAGTAATGACATGACAGACAGTATGATTTTTGAATAGGAAGATTATTATGTAACAAATGTAACAAATCTACTATGTAACAAATCTACTTATTTTTTTTTTAAAGAGCTACAGATATATTACAGGAAAGAGGTGGTTGGGTTGACCTAAACAGAGGCTTTTGACAGTCCCACACAAGAGGCTGTTCTGGAAACTGGAAAAGCAAAGAGTGACAGGGAGGCTTCTCACATGGATGAAAAATGTTCTAACTGACAGACACACGAGGACAGTAATCAGAGACAATGTATCTGACTGGAGAAGCGTTACTAGCGGAGTACCACAAGGTTTAGTTCTTGCACCAGTAATATTCATCGTCTACATAAACGATCTACCAGAAGGAATACATTATTTTATGAACATGTTTGCAGATGATGCTGAGACAACAGGGAAGATAGGAGAAGCAGATGATTGTATCAGACGACGATTTTTCCCTTCAAGAAAAAACACACACAAATTATGTGGAAAATAATTACAGAACTAATAAAGAACAAGACCTAGGGGTGGTTTAGAATAGTAAGCTGTCGCCAGAGGAACACGCAGAATATTGTGAGAGGAGCATATGCATCGCTTTCCAGCATCAGACTTGCTTTTAATTATATAGATGGTGAAATACTAAGGTTTTTATTGACTTTACTTATGACTTTTATGACCTTTTGACTTTTATGATGTTTTTCTTGACTTTTATGAACCTAAAATTGGAATATGCAGCAGTTGTATTGTGCCCAAATCTCAAGAAGCACATAAATAAACTGGAAAAGTTGCAAAGGGATGCTACAAAATGGCTTCCTGAACTAAAAAACAAGAGTTACGAGGAGAGACTAGAGGTGTTAAGCAAGCCAAAACTAAAAGATTGAAGAGAGAGGCGATATACTCACCACTTACAAAATACTAATAGGAATCGACATAATTGACAGGAATTCCTGAAACCAGCAACTTCACGAACAAAAGGACACCGATTAAAGCTAAGAAAACAGAGGTGCTGAAAAAATTATAAAATTTTCTTTTGCAAACAGTGTGCTAGACAGTTGGAACAAACTAAATGAGAAGGTGATTGAGGCCAAAACCATCAGTAGTTTCAAAGAGCTATACAGTAGCACCCCGACTTACGACAGCAACCTACTTGCGATTATTTCGAGTTATGACCCGAATTTTGTTGAGAAATGCGACTCAACTTACGACCTTTGCCTCGACTAGCGACTTTGTTAATACACATATGGGTTGACAGAGTGCGTGATTCCTGGTGGCACGGGCGACCCTGCCTCAGTTTACCTGAGCCGCCCGTGTAGTGATGATCGCACTTGTAAAGAATTTCACTGTTATGTGCTTTTTTTTTGTTTTATTGGACATAAAAGTAATTTTTATATATCATGTCATGGGTCCCAAGAAAGTCAGTGGTAAGGTTCAACCTAAGAAAATAGTTGTGAGTAGAGGCAGTCGAAGATGTTCCTTCCTCATTAACCCTTAAGTTGCGCAACACATTATACGATGGGTTGAGTGACTCGCTATAAATTGCGCATCCCATCATATGATGTATTGGAGTACTACGCAAGATTTAAACGGCCCACGGATACTCGGGGTTCACCTCACCATCAGGGGTCTTGTAAACAAATGCCATTTAAAAAAAAATCATGGGCCAAATTCCCGGGTGTGAGGGCCTCAGTATTGAGTGAGCCACCAAGCCTGACGCACACAGCATGAGCTCACAGCACTGCTGTTCAGCTTGTGACCACAGCATCGTCTAAAAATGCCATAATATACATGTTCATGCTATTATTTAGCAATGATATTATTACAGAAGACCCCTGACTGATAAAAATTACCAGGATTCTGATAATAGCAGGATTTTTGTGATAATTAGCACTAGTGGGAGGAGTAATCTTGGTGGGGAGGGAGGTATCTGTCTGCTGACTCTGTGTGACCACCTTTTACTGTCTGGATTCACTATACCAGCTTAGTTGTTCGCTATGGTAAACAAAATATGCAGATACTTATATATAACGTTTGTATATAAAAGCAAAAACAGTATGGTGGGAGGAGAATGGTGGCGAGTCAGGTGAGGTGAGGGAGGGAGTGGCCCTCCACTGGCTGCCGCTGCCACTGCCACTCAGCATACCAACTTAGTGGTTCGTTATGGTGAACACAAATGTGGATACAGTGGTACCTCGACTTACGATAATTTCGAGTTATGATGTAAATTTCATTGAAAAATGCGACTCGACATCCAATGGTGTCGTTGACTAACGATATTTGTTGGTATACGTTTGGGTCGACCGAGCGCGTGGTTCCCGGTCACGCGGTCCGACCTGCCTCAGTTTACTACAGCTGCCCACTTAGTGATGATCGCGCCTACAAGAAATTCCGCTTTTGTGGTGATTTTTTGCATTTTGAACATTTAACTAATAATTATATAGCACGCCATGAGTCCCAGGAAAGTTAGTGGTAAGGCTCAACATATGAAAACCCATGTAAGGATGACCATAGAGCAGAAACAAGAGATCATTCTTAAATAAGAAGATAGTGTGCAGGTTGTTGAACTGGCTAGGCAGTACAACAAATCTCAGTCAACGATATCCACCATACTGGCTAAGAAAAAGGACATTATGAATGCTAAAGTGGCAAAAGGCGTATCAATAATCACGAAACATAGAACACAAACACTTGATGTTGAACAGTTATTATTAATTTGGATACACAACAAGGAGTTAGCTGGTGATAGCGTTTCGGAGGCCATCATTTGTGAAAAGGCAAGAAAATTGCATGAAGACCTTTTAAAGAAAACCTCTGGAACGAGTGATGCAGAAGCGAAAGAATTTAAGGTGAGCAGGGGATGGTTTGAGAAATTTAGAAAAAAGTGGAATTCATAGTGTTGTGAGGCATGGGGAGGCTGCGAGCTCAGGCAAACCAGCGGCTGAAAGATTCATTGGCGAATTTAAAGATTTTGTGCAGAGCGAGGCATACCTACCACAACAAGTGTTTAATTGTGACGAGACAGGGCTATTCTGGAAAAGATTGCCATACATTACCAAGGAGGAGAAGTCATTGCCTGGACACATGCCTATGAAAGATCGGTTTACTCTTGTGTTGTGTGGTAATGCGAGTGGCGATTTGAAAATTAAACCCTTGCTTGTGTATCATTCCGAAAATCCAAGGGTTTTCAAAAATTATAATGTGCAGAAACACAAAATGTGTGAGATGTGGAAGGCGGAACACATTGAGCATAGTACCCATCCTATAAATAAACTAAGTAATTACACACATGCATTACATGAATTCCCAAATATAAGCATTATACGACATAATAAATAATAAATCTGAAAAAAGTATACATCACCTTACTCACCTATCAGATTTATCAGCACGTTCATGACGATCGCGGTCTGCAGTTACCGCCGTCATCTTTCTCATAACAGAGGTTGGTGTAAAGGCTAAGGGAGACTGAGATTTAACCCCAGATTTGCTGGGAGAACCATCCTGTACATAAACAAGAATGGTTGTCAACCAATTTATGTTCCTGAGTACTATTTTAAGCTACCAAAGGAAGAAATGTGTAGGAGGAGGTGGGAAAAGTTAGAGAAAGAGAGTGCTTGATTGATTAAATAACTGCCTGATAAGTAATTCCTGTCACAAACTACAGTAAGTCATCAGCAAATCTAAATTATCTTATAAATTCTTATATTTTCTCAATATTAATATTCACTAAGTCTTGCCTTGGCTATTATGAACTTTACCAGATGAGTGCATGAGAATAAAAGTATTTTCTTTTTAACACTTCCATATTTACTCACACACACACACTTTACAAATAAGATACGAACCTTGTTAACATTAGATGAAATGGACATAGAGCCAATGCCCGAGACATTTATGGATGCGTTGGGGTTTGGAGATCTTGCTCGCTCAGCTTCACGTTTTCGGTGTTTCTGAAGTATTAATTAATAAAATCTGATTTTGGAATAAACTAATTTTAATTACAATAATAGCAAATGACATACTTTCCTATAGAGATTCTGAAGGAAAGAGATGGTTGGGTTGACTATGTATATCTGGACCTAAAAAATACATTTGACTAAAGGCTTTTGAATCAATCCCATACAAGAGGTTGTTTGGGAAACGAGCATGCTGGAGGGAGACAGGGAGACAGTTGAAATGGATGAAAAATTTTCTGACAAAGATAAGAGCAGTAATTAGAGACAATGTATCTGAGTGGTGGAATGTTTCTAGCGGAGTACCACAGGATTCAGTTCTTGCAACAGTAATGACAATTGTCTACTTATGATAATAAATGAAACTACAATTAATGATAATTGTCAGGAGGCACTGAACTACAGGCCAGTGTCCCTAACTTGTTTACCATGCAAGTTGACTGAGAAGATTGTGCAAAAAAAGCTAATGGAACATCTGGTGCGAAGGAACTTTGAAACATCATCTTCATGGGTTCAGGGATGGCAAGTCCTGCCTCATAGGATTAACTGAATTCTATGACCAGGCAACACAAATCAGGCAAGAGAGAGAAGGGTTGGCAGACTGCATATTTTTGGATTGCCAGAAAGCCTTTGATACAGTATCACACAAAAGACTAGTGCAAAAATTGGAGATGTAGGCAGGAGTGAAAGGAAAGGTACTCCATTAGATAAGGGAGTACCTAAGCCACAGAAGACAGCGAGTCACTGTGAGGGGTGAGGTCTCAGACTGGCGAGGCGTCGCCAGTGGAGACCCGCAGGGTTCAGTCATTGGATCTATACTGCTTCTGATATATATGTAAATGATCTCCCTGGGGGTATAGAATTGTTCCTCTCATTGTTTGCTGATGATCCAAAAATCATGAGGAGGATTAAGACAGAGGAAGATAGTATGAAGCTACAAGAGGACCTAAACTAACTATGAATTGTCCAACAAATGGCTACTAAACTTTAACTTGAGTAAATGAAAGGTAATGAAATTAGGCAGTGGAAACAGGAGGCTAGACACAGGACACAGAATGGGAGATGAAGTACTTCATGAAACTGACAGACAGAAAGATCTAGGAGTTGATATCACGCCAAACCTATCTCCTGATGCCCGCATAAAAAGAACATCTGCAGCGTAAGCGAGGTTGGCTAACATCAGAACTGCCTTCAGGAACCTGTGTATGGAATCATTCAGAACCTTGTATACCACACTTGTAAGACCAATCCTGGAGTACGCAGCCTCCGCATGGAGCTTGTACCTTGTCAAGCACAAGACGAAGCTGGAAACAGTTCAGAGGTATACCACTAGGCTATTCCCAGAACTAAGAGGCATGAACTACAGTACGAGGAAAGGGTGCGTGAAATGCACCTCGAGAGACTGGAAGACAGAGGAGTAAGGGGAGACATGATACTACCTACAAAATCCTCTGAGGAATTGACAGAGTTGAAAAGAGTAAGTAGTAGTAGTAGTAGTAGAGATGACGGCATATCGTCTGTATTTTCCAGAGCAAAAAAACCCAGCGTTGAATGTAATTAAAGGCCCTTTTTTGGGTGAGCCCCGGAGGCTCCCTGGAGCTTAACGGGCTAATGTATGTTATATTAGACCGGAACATTAGCCAAGGAGTTCAGACCTACCAGGGACCAGCACCAGAACCTGCCCCCTTCAGTTTCAGAGAGCAATGGCCCTGGAAAACCCCCTTGTGGTTGGGGTTTTCCTTATCTGCCATCGACTGGGGTTAGGCACCCAGAAAGGTAGGCATAACAAAACAAACCCCCACATGGTAAAAAAACTAAAACAAAAAAAATCGAACAGAGGTAGAAACTCCCTACAATCCCAATGAAATAAGCCAACAAACAAACATCACACTTTACTGCTGTGCCAATCGTCTGTGCAGCCCTCCCTGTCCTAAGAGGGGGAGAGGAAAGCCCCGGACCTCACCGCGCCGGCTGCCTAGCATCAGTTCGGAAGCTAAGCTTCAACCAACGCAAAAAAACTGCCGACCGGTGGGAGGGAGGGTTGTCAGGGAGCCTCCGGGGCTCGCCCAGAAAATGGCGTTTCATTATATTCAACGCTGGTTTTCTGTGGGGAGCCCCTATGGCTCCCTGAAGCTTGATACCCAAAGAGAAGGAAAAGAAAGAGCTGACCTGGGAGGTGGCCGCCACAAACTCCACAACGCTGAGCCGAAACAACGGGCTGCAACCTGCGACCCAAGGCAACAAGAACGCACAGGAGCAGACACGAGCATAAAGAACGGGCAGCCAGGAACCTGTGCGACTCTCAAATCCTTGCGCCCGAAATGAGCCCAAGACTTCAACACGGCAGCGAAAGCTGCAAACGTCCGAACAGCACGGGCACAAGGATAAACCGCAGGCTGGAAGACATAAAAACTCTGCGGACGACCTGGGAGACCCGAGCCCTGAAACAGGGAACGAGGGGAACCGGATCAACCCAAAGCTCATCCCCAGACATGGTACGCAGGTAACAGCAAAAAAGCGCAACCGGACAACACAGGACGCACCACCGGCCAAACCAATCAAGCATCAATAACCCAAGGACCCCTTCGGAAAGCAGCCGTCTCGACTGCCGCCAGAAGGACGGACAAAGGCTGCAAACATACAAACCTACCACCAATACCAAAGAGCAGAAACCTGAACCGAAGGGGCTACCACAAACTGAGGAGAAGATAGGAGGGCACCCTGATCAAGGACCAGGACAGCTCAGGCGACGCATGAGCAGGCCGGAGGTGAAACAAAACACGAGAAAGCGTACGGAACGGGGCAGATGCGACGTCTACCCCGAACGCAAGACGAAGCAGCTCAACCAGCGCCGCACAAAACAAGGCGACAGTAAGAAACATCAAATAACTGTAGTCCTGAAAACCCAAGAAAGGACAAGACATCCTGATCCGAAAGAGAAGACGACCTACGAAGAGCAAGAAAAAGGTGCATAGAAACACCAGGAACATCATACTGTTCAATTTGTATGTTTGTTTCAATGAATGAAATCATGAAACAAATTGTTTCAATTTCATACAAACAATTTGTCTTGAACAAGTACTAAATGACTAACCTCTCTGGCTTTCTCCAACTCTTGTTTTATTAATGCCTTCTGCATAATATTTTGTGTATGAGCGACTAGTTCTTGGTGGGAAGGGGGTCTGCGAGGGCCTCCTCCAACATTATTCACACTCAGGTTATTACCCAATGACCCACCAGTAAACACTGCAAAAGAGAACTTTAATACTTAATACTCTACATATTGTTATAAGTTATATATCAAAAGTCTTCAGACCAAACAAAAAAAATAGCCCTTACTATGGCACATCTGTTTCCCACTTCATTACATGCATACCTACTAATCACTAATTGATCCTTTATCAGAATATATAAGCCAATAAATCAAATAAATTAAATAATTTAAGTAAACAAACATACATCATCAATCATTGAAGGTGAAGGAAATACCCAATTTATGCTTTTAGTGTATTAAAAACCAAATTTACAGATGTAACCCACATCCTTTCACAAAGGTACTATATACAATGTTCAGCATAGACATTGCATATACCTGCTTGATACCCGTTTAATGGGGTTCTGGGAGTTGTTCTACTCCCTAAGCCCAGCCTGAGGCCAGGCTTGACTTGTGAAAGCTTGGTCCACCAGGCTGTTGCTTGGAGCAGCCCACAGGCCACCATATCCACCACAGCCCGGTTGGTCCAGCACTCCTTGAAAAAACTATCTAGTTTTCTCTTGAAGGTGTCTATGGTTGTTCTGGCAATATTTCTTATATAGTGTACTTGCTGGGAGGATGTTGAACAACTGTGTACTCTGAAGTTTATACAGTATTCTGATTGTGCCAATGACACCCCTGCTCTTCGCTGGTTCTATTCTGCATTTTCTTTCATATCGTTCACTCGATGGGATCCCTGGATTTGAAAATTTTCATAATCCATCCTATCATTTTTCTGGCTGATGCAATATTTGCGTCAAAAGTAAAAGTTTTGCATACAAGTTAAATCGTCAGACATCATTATTTCCAAATACTTTACATGCTGCTTTCATAATATGGGCACATTTGATTGTGTTTTGTACCCTGTATTATATTTAACCCTTAAATGGCGCATGGCTATATACCATTTGACACCCACAGGCGCATATATACAGTATATATGAAAAAAAAAATTTTTTTTCTTCCTAACCTGTTAATTTGTGTTCACTGATCATGGGAAAAATAATGAAAAGATCGTAAGTGGCATATATTGCCCGCTATAGGGCAGGGAAGTCTGGCAAAAAACAGGCGCTGACTCAGCGTGCGTCCCAGGCGGTCTGTTGCTCACCAGCTGTCAGGCCGGAGTTGCCACAATGAGATAATTACCTAATTATTTCAATGTCTCAATTACCTAATTATTTCAATGTCTCTGATTGATTTTTCGTATATTTTTCTTTGCTGTAATATTATTCAATAGTGTGTAGTGTGATATATTTATATAATAAAATGAGTGAATCATCGCTATACTCAAAAAATATGGTGTGCATATTGTTGATTCAATTATGTTCATCAAACAGTGAACAAATGCTTTGTCGGTTATTACACTATATACACAGGTTATATATAAGTATCTGCATGTTTAGATCACCATAATGAACCACTAAGATGCTATTATGAGTCAAAAAGTAAAAGTTTTTTTTTAAATGGCATCTGTTTACAAGAGCCCTGATGAAGGTGTGGTGAACCCCGTTTATTCGCGGGCCGTTTAAATCTTGCGTAGTACTCCAAAATATCATATGATGAGATGTGCAATTTACTACAAGTCGGTCAAAGCATCATATGATGCGATGCACAATTTAAGGGTTAAGGTCCTCATTTTTACCGTACCTGAGTACATGGAATTTATCACAGTTAAATATGTTATTTTCTGCTGCCCAGTCAAAAACTTTATTAATATATATCTGCTTGTAGTAGTTTTTGAATGTCTTCAGCAGAAGTAATTTTCATGCCGATTTTAGTGTTACAGTATCTTCAGACGATGATACAAAGCTGTGACTTATTTTTGTCTATTTCTGATATGAGAATATGGAAAAGCATTGGTGCAAGGACTGTACCCAGAGGTACAGAGTTTTTAACAGTGTTTGGAATATTTTATATGGCTGATTATTACTCTGTGTTCTGTTCGACAGAAAATCGAGTATCCACCTTCCTACTTTACCAGTTATTCTAATTGACCTCATTTTGTATGCTATCACTCCATGGTCACATTTCTCGAATGCCTTTGCAAAATCCGTGTATACCACATCTGCATTCTGTTCCTTCTAATGCCTCAGTGACTGTCGTAGTAGTTAAGTAGCTGTGAGAGGCATGATCTTCCCACTCTAAATCCATGTTGGTCTCGGTTGTGGAGGTCATTGGTCTCCATGAAACTGGTGACCTGACTCCTGATCACTCTCTCAAATACTTTTATTATGTAGGGCATTATTGCAGCTGGTCTGTAATTCTTTGCCAATGCTTTGCTCCCTCCCTTGTGTAGAGGAGCTATGTCTGCTGATTTAAGCACATCTGGTATCTTCCCCATGTCCAAGCTCTTCCTCCACACTATACGAGCGCTTGTGTTACTGGCACACTGCATTTCTTTATAAATACTGAATTCCACGAGTCTGGACCCGGGGACGAGTGCATGGGTATGTTGTCAATTTCTCTTTCAAAATATGCCACGCTCGTGTTGGTATCAGTTATATTTATAGCGGTTTGGATATCATGCATAAAGAAGTTGTCCGGATCTTCCACTTTCATGCCGTTTATTGACTGCTAAACATGTCCTCATACTACTTTTTTAGGATTTCACGTATTTGTCATCCTCAGTGTATAAACTTTCACTCGTATGAATAGGTCCAATACTGGTAGTGGTTTTTGCTTATGATTTTGCGCATTTGAAGAAATATTATGGGTTTTTCCTTATTTCTTGAAATGCTTCCTGTTCTAGTTGCCTTTCTTCAATCTGATATGAATGCTTCAGTCTCTGCTCTATTTCTTCAATCTCCCCGTTTCAATTTTTCCATCTTTGTAGGGAAAGTCGTGTCTGCCTAAGCATTTCCGTTATTTTCATCCTTCTTTTGAAATGTCATCTGTGTTCTCTTTCTGCTTTGGATCTCTCTCTGGCTTTCCTTAAAGGAACATGTTTCAGACTTTATATTCTTCAGAAGTTTTTCAGTTTTTCTATTCCCTGTGTAGGATTTTTACTAATGTACTTTGAACAGTTTCCCATTGAATGTTTATAAGTTCCCTGTTTATTTACTCCCAGTCCATCCTTTTATTATTAAAATTGAATTTACCCCTCTTGCTTTATTATTGTTTTAGGTCTATTCTGAGTATTGATGGTTTGAATACAATTCTGAGTATTGATGAGTACTCATGATTGTACTGAGTATTCTGAATATTCTGAATAATGATGGTTTGCCCTTCAATGAGCTTGTGATCCGAGTATGTGGTATCCAAGATAAAGTCCCTGATTATGTCGTCATTGTTTGCAAAGACCAGATCTGGAATAATATTTTCGTTCCTGCTTGAGTCTGATATCTGCTGGTTGAGTGAAAATTTGTCACAGAATCTAAGTAGTGTGGTTGGTTGTGTCCAGATAGATTTCCTGGTATAATATTATTGTTTGTTATTCTCCATCTTAGACTAGGCAGGCTGAAATCACCTAGGAAAATATTATCAGGTATTGGGTTTGCCAAATTATCAAGGTTATTCTCTATTTTGTAAATCTCCTCTGTGAATTCCTCAGCCGTTCCATCTGGCAGTTTGAATATTAGAATAATAAGTTTATTTTCTCAATTTTTACTCCCAGTACCTCTACCAGCTCATTTGTAGAGTTAACACTTTCGCACCCCTGGGCGTGCGCGTCGCAAACTTTGATGTTATGTCCCCCGGCAGTGCGGGCAAGCGAGCGGCAACACCAAAATGTGTATACTGTACTCATTTAAATTTTCTCACCTTAATTCTCGTATGTCATTTGTTTTGGTATCAATGTGTTCGCAATAGAATTCCCTACGGGGTATATGCATATAATGTCCAAAAGCCTGGCGTGACTCCTCACAGCAAAGCCTAAAGTCGGCAAAAGTTACCCATGAGCACACAAAATCAGTAAAATGTGTACAGTATACTCGTTTCAGTTTTCTCACCTTAATTCTTGCACTACTGTACATCGATTGTTTTGGTATCATTGTATTCACAATTAAATTCCCTGTAGGTGTATACACATATAATGTCCAAAAGCCCGGCGTGACTCCCCACAGCAAAGCCTAAAGTTACCCGTGAACGAGCACCAATTCGCACACTGCAGCCTAGTGTGTATACTCGTTCAGTTTGATAACATCAATTTTCGTGTTACGTCTTTCATTTTGGTATCAAATTGTTCGCAATATAAAGGCGAGTATTTTAAAACTAGTCAGGAAATAATAGAGCAATAACTGGAATTTTAACAAATATTTAAATTTTGGACGCTCATCATCACAAAATTATTTATATCTTTCCAGTGTTCTGACATCAATTTTCGTGTTACATCTTTCATTTTGGCATCAAATTGTTCGCAACCTAAAGGCGTGCATTTTAACAGTATTGCAAACTTTGGACCTGACTTTCGTCCATTTTTTTTCTCTTGAATCCAAACTTTGGACCTGACTTGCGTCCACTACAAAATATTTGTATAAAATGAATTTTTTATCCGATCGACCTCGGGATAGTATCAAAATAAGCGCCTTTAGAATGCACACAATTTGATATCAAAATGAAAGATATAACATGAAACTTGATGTCCGAGCACTTGAATGATTATAAATAGGTTTTTGATCAAAATATTAAAATATTTGGTAAAATTCTATTTATTGTCCTATTGCACAACGGTCAGATCTGCGAGCTGGTGCACGCACGACAGTCAGATCGGCGAGCTGGTGCACGCACGACAGTCAATTTAAATTTTTTTAATTTGAGATAAAACTCTCAAATTATATCAAATCTAACCTAACCTAACATTGTAATCTAACTTATCCTAACAAACCAGTCATTCATGTTCTTAATAAAATAATATTAATTTTAATAAACCATTTAAAAAATTGTATTTAAAAATAACTCTGCCTGTTAGGCAAATTAGGCATTGCATACTAGGCCAAGTAGTGCAGTCCTGGCTACTAATTATGACATACATATAATGTGTATGTATACATGCATGAGGAGCCGGTCGGCCGAGCGGACAGCACGCTGGACTTGTGATCCTGTGGTCCTGGGTTCGATCCCAGGCGCCGGCGAGAAACACTGGGCAGAGTTTCTTTCACCCTATGCCCCTGTTACCTAGCAGTAAAATAGGTACCTGGGTGTTAGTCAGCTGTCACGGGCTGCTTCCTGGGGGTGGAGGCCTGGTCGAGGACCGGGCCGCGGGGACACTAAAAAAAGCCCCGAAATCATCTCAAGATAACCTCAAGAAGATGCAAGTCTCGAGCAAAAACCTGAGTACAAGAAACTTACTTAGAGGAGAGAGACGAGATTGTTGCTGCAGAATATGAGGGTTGAGCATATTGGAAGCATCAGGATTAGGAGAGGCCACACGAGGAGACAGAGACGCACTCCCCCCAAGAGAGAGGCCTCCACTCACTACTGCCTAAAAAATAATATATTTATTTTTAAGTAACGTATAAGTATTTTAAGTATTAGTAAAGAATTTACTAATCTAAATGCAGTACACTATGTGATATGGCTTTAATTAAATTAGCAACATGATTTGGACCATGCAAAACTATTAATCCTTACACTATCACATAGCAGTGCAGATCTCTCGTTAAACACGATATTAATATTAATTTCTTGGTATGCATGAGATGTGTCACACATTTTCAGTGTACAAAAGTACACTAAGGGTAGGATTATAAAATGTTGTCCTAGCCTACTTAAAACCTGTGGCTATAACATACTCTGATAATCACTAATTGAAAGTAATCACAAAGATCTTTCATGTTTCCTCGTCAATAAGTTTGGTACTTTAGATACATAAAGACTTCAAAAACATTAAAGAAGGCTCATAATATTTAACCCCTAATGGCCAGTTTGAAAACAATAAATAAAAAAATGCATATATGAAAACACTTCAGTTGGTTCTCTCTAAAATGAATATTTCATCTTGTTTACAAACCATTGTATCTAAAAACAGTAAAGCTTCATTGATTCCCCTTTCAATAGTGAATTTAATGGCAGGAACAAAGTTTGAGTTACAAAAAATCATCAAGGTTAAGGAAATCCAGCCAAAGACATGGAATGTCAACATATCAATGATACTGAGGGTAAAAGGCGAGAGAAGAATGGTACGATCAACATCATAATCGAGTAAAACTATCCAGAAAGTTCAGGTAAAGCTAAATAAACTATCTTCACGACAAAAGCTGAAAGCATATGAAGTCATATTTTGTTGAATTAGGCAAACTAGTATCTTGTATACCAGCAGCAGGGACCAGAATCCTGCCCCCACCTCAGACAGCAAAGCTGAATGTCATGTTAAAGGTTGAGCTTTGACCTTTACCTCAGTGTAGTAAATTGAGGTAAAGGTCAAAAGAGCCATAAAAACTCAAAATATTCACAAAGAAATCTTTGCGTTAAATACTAAACTCAAAACTATCCATTAACACTTTCACGTTCTGGGCATGCGCACGCCAGATTACCCTCAAGGTGGCCTGGGTGTTTCCCGTGAGCATGCGGAAACACTGAAATGTGTATACTCTCTTCAGTTTTATCACCTCAATTTTTGTTGCATGTCATTCATTTTGGTATCAAAAAGGTCGCAATAGAATTCCCTACAGGAGTATATGCATATAAGGTCCAAAAACCCAGCATGCCACCCACACCATACCCAGAAATTGGCCAAGCGTTGCCCGTGAGCGCACAAGAGCAATAAAACGTGTATACCCTTTTCACTTTTGTCACCTCAATTCTCGTGCTATGTCCTGCATTTTAGTATCGGTTTGTTCGCAATAGAATTCCTTACAGGGATATATGCATACAAGGTCCAAAGCCTGGCAAGCCCCACCTGCAGCAAAGCCAAAAGTCGGCTAAGCATTATCCATGAGCGAGCACCCATTGGCACACCCTCTCACAAATGTATTTACTCTTTTCAAGTTTCTCAACTCAATTTTCATCTCGGTTTGCAATAGAATGGGAAGACGTTGGCACACACTTTAAAACCAATCCCATAAAGAAAGGATAAAAAACTATAATTTTTAACATTTGAATTTTGGACGTCACCTGCGTCCCAAAAGCTCAGGTCTCCCAGGCCGTCCGCAGAGTTTTTAAGTCTTCCAGCCTGCGGTCTGTCCTTGTGCCCGTGCTGTTCGGATGTTTGCAGCTTTTGCTGCTGTGTTGGTGACGTCTAGGGCTCATTTCGGGCGCAGGGATTTGAGGGTCGCACAAGTTCTTGGCCGCCCATTCTTTATGCGAGTCTGCTCCTGTGCGTTCTTGTTGCCTTGGGTCGCAGGTTGCAGCCTGTTGTCTCTGCTTCGCGTTGCGGAGTTTGTGGCAGCCGCCTCCTGGGTCAGCCCTTTCTTTTCCTTCTCTTTGGGTATGAAGCTCCAGGGAGCAGTAGGGGCTCCCCACAGAAAACCAGCGTTGAATGTAATGAAACGCCATTTTCTGGGTGGGGGGCTCTCTGGCAACCCTCCCTTCCACCAGTTGGCGTTTTTTTCGCGTTGGTTGAAGCTTAGCTTCCAAACTGATGCTGGGCAGCCAGCGCGATAGGTCCAGGGCTCCTGTCTCGGGGCAGGGAGGGCTGCGCAGACGATCGGCGCGGCAGTAAAGTGTGATGTTTGCTTGTTTCCTTGGGATTGTAGGGAGTTTCTACCTCTCTGTTCGTTTTTTTGTTTTAGTAATTTACCATGTGGGGTTTGTTTTGTTATGCCTACCTTCCTGGGTGCCTAACCCCGGTCAATGGCAGATAAGAAAAACCCCAACCACAAGGGGGTTTTCCAGGGCCATTGCTCCCTGAAACCTCTCTGAAGGGGCCAGGATCTGGCACTGGTCCCTGGTAGGTCTGAACTCCTTAGTTAATGTCCCGGTCTAATATAACATACATTAGCCCGATAAGCTGCAGGGAGCTATAGGGGCTCCCCACAGAAAAGTGTTAATTTTTGTTCCATGATCAAGGAAAAAATAACAAAAAAAATCGTAGGTGGCATATTTTAGCTGCAATAGGGTAGGGAAGTCTGGCAAAAAAACCAGCGTTGAATGTAATGAAACGCCATTTTCTGGGTGAGCCCCGGAGGCTCCCTGGAGCTTATCGGGCTAATGTGTGTTATGTTAGACCGGGACATTAGCTAAGGAGTTCAGACCTACCAGGGACCAGCGCCAGAACCTGGCCCCTTCAGAGAGGTTTCAGGGAGCAATGGCCCTGGAAAACCCCATATGGTTGGGGGTTTTCCTTATCTGCCATCGACCGGGGTTAGGCACCCAGAAAGGTAGGCGTAACAAAACAAACCCCACATGGTAAGAAACTACAACAAAAACCGAACAGAGAGGTAGAAAACTCCCTACAATCCCAAGGAAACAAGCAAACAAGCAAACATCACACTTTACTGCCGCGCCGATCGTCCGCGCAGCCCTCCCCACCCCGGGAGGGGGAGGGGGGAGCCCCGGACCTACCGCGCCGGCTGCCAAGCTCCAGTTCGGAAGCTAAGCTTCAACCAACGCGAAAAAACCGCCGACCGGTGGGAGGGAGGGTTTCCAGGGAGCCTCCGGGGCTCACCCAGAAAATGGCGTTTCATTACATTCAACGCTGGTTTTCTGTGGGGAGCCCCTACGGCTCCCTGGAGCTTCATACCCAAAGAGAAGGAAAAGAAAGGGCTAACCCGGGAGGCGGCCGCCACAAACTCTGCAACGCAAAGCCAAGACAACCGGTCGCAAACCTGCGACCCAAGGCAACAAGAACGCCCAAGAACAGACGCACATATGGATGGGCGGCCAAAAACCTGTGCGACCCACAATTCCCTGCGCCCGAAATGAGCCCGAGACGTCACCAACACAGCAGCAATTGCTGCAAACGTCTGAACAGCACGGGCGCAAAGACAGACCGCAGTAAGAAGGAAAACACTGCGGACGACCCGGGAGACCCGAGCCCTGAAAACAGGGAACGAAGGAACCGGATCAACCACAGCGCATCCCCAGGCACGGTACGCCGGCAACAGCAAAAAGCACAACTGGACAACACAGGACGCACCCCCCGGCCAAACCAAACAAGTACCAATACCCCAAGAACCCCTCCGGAAAGCAGCCGTCTCGACCGTCGCCAGGACAGAGAAAGGCTGCACACCAATAAAGCTACCACCAGTACCAAAGAGGAGGAAACTGAAACCGAAGGGGCTACCACAAACTGAGGGGAAGAGAAGAAGGCACCCTGAACAAGGACCAGGATGGCTCAGGCGACTCATGAGCAGGCCGGAGGGGAAACAAAACGCGAGAAGACGTAATAAACGTCATACAGTCTCCAAGACGAAGCTCGCAGGTGGGACACCGTCAACAAAGCCACCTGAACACCATAGAGATGGCGATACCTGCGTCAAAATACCAGACGCGAAGAGCCAAAGAGAAGGCCGAACCAGTCACGGACAGGACCGATTCGGCCTGCTGAAAGAGGCGAAGCCTCAGGAAAAACGCCCCGGGTACGGACACCTATCAAGCAGCGTCTGAAAAGAAGGCCGGGCCGGCCACAGTGGAACCATAAGGACTGTTCTCGTGGGAATGGGCTGCAACTGAGCCAGAACCCGAAGCAACAGCTGGACCGGGAGAAGAGGTACAGGTACCCCCCACCTCGACCAGGCCTGCCGAAAGCCTCCACCGTGAAGTCCTCGCAGGTGGGAAGGGCGCCACAAAACGGGCGACGCCTAGACCACGCCGACCCGAAGACGTCCATGGCCAGGAGTCCATAAGCCCAACAGAGCCAACAAAACGAATCGGCGACGACTGGCCAACCCACGAAGAGGAATGAACCGAGACGGCTGTCCACCAGGACGCAGGACACACCCCGGACACGAACCACACGGTTAACCAAACCCCCTGTGGTTCCGGCAAGAACCACCAGAGAACAGTCCAAACAGAGCTGAATGGTAGAGTACCTAGTGACCCAAACCCTCCGAAGCGCAAACCAGACAGCCATGAACACCTGAACCGGGCTGTGAGCCCGACGGACAGACAGACTCCATCAACCTCGGCCGACCTGGTGAGCACTGGTCACAAAGCCCCAGCCGAGAGACGACCCGTCCGTGAACACATCGAGCGAAGGCTCGGGGAGCCGCCAAGGCACGGAACCCCGAAAACCCCAAAGAGGAAGCTGGTGACGCAGCACCAACACCAGATCCCCAGAGGAACCCAAGGAATGCAAGAGGCGGAAGTGGAGTCTCCGTAGGAACCAACCGACGCCGGAGCCAAACCCGACTCCGCGGGCAGACAAGCACGCCGAAGTGCAAACTCCCGCACAACCGCCCAAGCAACCGCTGAGCAACCCGGGACCCCCTCCTGAACAGCCAAAGGCGGGACCACAGCCACAGTAACACTTCTGGAGGGAAGACAATGAAGGGCCCAAGAGCCTGAAACAAGGCCCAGGTCCGAACCCGGGACGGAAACAGA